TAGTGGCTGTTTCCCATATTGCATTAGAGTGTCACCCCTTGGTGATTCTATGCTCTTTGACTGACTAAATATCTACTATTAAATATCTACTATTCAAAAATATACAAACAAATGTAAAAACAGTAAAACACCCTAAATCTGTTCAAACGCGTCGATCTGATGGCGGTTGAGTTTGCAGCTGGATATTATTGGGAGATCACTGACAGGAACAGTGAACAGCTTCGCCAGAGCGTGTCTGAAACTCATATGCAAGTTTATTTTACATTCTATGACAGAAACACCCTTGACCCTCGCTAGATCCTGTATGGGCATGCGTCTGTTATAAATCACTCAAAGGACATTAATTTGGACAACTATGCGGATATATTAAATAGTTCACACAATAATACACAAAAAGAGACCTTCACTTTTACTTTAAACAGTTTGTGAATGAACCGACTTACGTGTTGCTTAGTTGCAAATGTAATCATGAGGCTGTTTTTGCGCAGAGTTTGAAGTAATCCATCACATAACTGGAGAAAGGCCATTACTTCATTCATTTTAATATAGCATATTAATAATGAAATCCAAAATTATTGTACTATATTCAGAGTTCATTTTAAGCTATCTCATGGCCCACCTGTAGGATTGCTGAGGCACACTAGTGGCTGCGGCTCACCTGTTGAGAATCCCTGCTTTATCAGATGAAATTAACCGTTTAAGGTTGCGCCATCCAGTGAACACAATTGGAACTGCAGCTTCTTTTATTGAAAAATTGCTGCTTGTTTTTATACTTTACAGAATCATCTCGCGAATCAGGCCCGCAAACAGGTTTAATCCGGCCCACAGGCCGTACGTTTGACACCCCTGGTGTAGTGGATGGACTGACAGAAGGAATGAGGGAATAAAGTTTATGAAAGTGTCAGGAGAATTAGTGAGGATTTCCCTATAAAAGATGGGCATTTGGAGATTTTAGACCAGGGTTTCTTAAATTGACAAAATAACTAAAATTTAAGATGACACTTTACAATAAGTTTTCATTAGTTAATGCAAACTAATTATGAACAATACAATACAGCATTTATTATTATAGTTCAACATTTACTAATGCATTATTAAAATCCAAATTCATGCTTTAATACATTGAGTTAACGTCAACTAACAACAAATTTGATTTTCATTAACTAACATTACTAAATGAGCAAAATCACATGAGTAGCAGTGTGATATGGCTGTATATCGGCATAGGGAGGTGTACTTTAGTGCCCCACACCAGTGCAGATTTACAGCCATAGCAGACTGCTATGAGTGTGATATTGCGTTTGCTCAACAGTTCGCTGGCATAATCGTGTTAAAAAAAACAACAACAAAAAAAACAAAAAAAAAACAGAGGCTCAAAAACCCTTTTGTAAGAGAAATTACTTTTTCCGCCATTCATTCACATCTGCAGCTAACGTCAGAACAGCAGAAACTGTTGTTCATTCACCAACGTCACTTTAGAGCTAGCATTTGAATGATTCTTTAGCGTAATGTCTAAAGGGATGACAAAACAAGTAATTTTTGATCACATTTTAAGATTATAAGGCTGAACGGCATGAAGAGCCATCAATCAGCAGAGATTTCCAGTATTTCTCTGTGGCAATCAAGATATCACAATAATTAAACCCCAAAAAAGCCAAAGCAAAGCAAACACTGCCAGTTTCTGTGGTATAAATACAGCACTAAAAATACAAAACAGAGAGAATGTCAATTACCTGATTTATAATGATTTGTTCAGCTTGTACATTGAGAAAATGCTGTTTTTCTCCCCTAAGGACTTATTATGCTGTCTCTGTTGCCATCTTGTGGCGGAACGTCATCCGTCACTTTTTTTGGTCTTCTCAGACAGGCTGATGGCGGCCTATGCACTGAATTCGATTCTCCGAAACTGCATAGTTGCAATCTAAACAACTACATTCTTGACTAAAAATGCCCCAAAAGTACATTATGTTGCCCAATAGGAGTAATATTTGTCAAACTGTAGAGTGTGCTTAGCTTATTGCTGTATGTGGGTGAAGTAATACACAAGGGTAAAGGGTGAAAAGGCTGTACGAATGCTGTCATTTGCAGAATATTGCACAACTCTCCGCCAATCAGATTCAAGAACCCGATAGAACTGTTGTATAAACATGAAAAAATACTATAATAAATGTATTGTTTGTTCATGTTAGTAAATACATTGGTAACACTTTAGTTTAGGTCACAGTTCATGGTATTAACTTAGCTTAGTAAACTACTAATTAGCTGTTCATTCATAGTTAGTAAGGCAGAAGTTGGGTTTAGGATTAGGGATGTATAATAAGATGCTGCTTGCTCATAACTACTAATAAATAGATAATAATTTAATTAATAATAGGCACGTGGTGACCAGTAGAATTGTGACCTAAAATGTTGTTAATGATGATGATGATGACGACGACGATGAAAAAAGCCTTTATTTGTCATATAAACTTTTACATGTAGCGAAATTGGACCCCTCCGACTATACACAAACCTCACACATTTCAGGGGAAGACAGGTCAGATGAGAGGTAACTTTAGAAAGAGGAAGTAATATACATTAGGGAAAAGGGAGGCAAAAAAAGCCCCTCCTGTCCTTGAAGTAGGGCAGTGTGAAAACAGTGGTAATGGTAATTAACTAATACAACCTTAATGTAAAGTGTTACCAATTTTGAACAAATATTTATAAATCAAATTATATATTAGAATCTTTTTTTGAAACTAGGGAAGGAAATTTTTATTATTATTACTTATTGTTTTGTATTTTCAAGTTAATAGGCTTTTGAACAAGAGACTTCATTTTTGTCCATTGGGAATTGATTGAATCATTGATTAGCTGTGGTTTCTATTGATTTATCTTGTGTCATTGGCAGTTTGACCCTTTTCTGCCAGTAAACACACCAGACACAGAAGGAGGGGGAAACTATTCTGCGTAAAGATTACAAAAGCTCATAAATTATTAATTATTAGTATTATTATTAATTATAATGACGAATTCATGGGAAAATAATTTACAATACACTGTAATATTCTATTTTAAAATAATTGGAAATTTCAACCTGCATGGACTTAATTGACATCAGAGAATATGCATATATAATGTATAATGTTTCATAAAATAAATCTTAAAAGGCACTTAAAGTAAATCATTTGGATAATTGACAATATTTAATGTTAATGTAAATTTTTGCAAATGTAAATAATAGATTTTACAATTGCCAACTATTATACAAATGTATTGTTGTATCATTGTTGAACTATTCACTTAAAATCTTAAAAGGGACTTTAAGTAAATATTTAAGTCAAATAATTAATATTAAACTGTTGACAAAAGTGTGTGAATCCCAGATTCAATGGTACTTCAAAGTTTGTGGCGCAGTTCAGAGTGTGTATGCTGTTCTTTTACCATCATCTCCTTTTTAAATTTTTTACCAGTTTTTATATATAAAAGTGTAAACTTCTCAGTAAGCTTCAAAGCTGCATTGTATATAAACTACAGCAAGCATTTATATGTAATGCAATACACATATCCACTGGATTGAAAAGGATAAGATCCATCTGTAAGCACATAACTGGGAATTGACAGATTCTTTCATTTTCATCAGGTTTGGTTGTGGTTTTTGTGTTGGTTTGTACTCTGTTTTGGTGTTCTTTATGTCTGAGTCCTGCCCTCTGCTGGTCACAATAAACACAGTTAGTAGCTGCGTAACCATTTCCTCATCTGACCAGACTGATGATTACACACTGTAAAAATGCAGGGTTCCACACAATTCCTTCATGTTGTCCCAACACAAATCAATTAAGTTACCTTAACACTTTAACCAAATTTATGTGGATTGAACATAAAAACATGAAGTTGTCCCAATGAAATATCAAGAATTGTGTTGATTCAGCTTATTTTAAATAAGTAGTTTGAACAAGCAAAAAAAAAAAAAAGCATAATTTTGCACTTGCCCCGTGGCTGGTTCACATTAATCCTGTTTTCTATCCCAAGGCCTTTTAACAATAGATAGAACTCGTTCATAACAGTGACCATGTTTACATGAGCATTTTAATTGATTAATTCTGGCATATTCTGATTATTTGTGTGTCATGTAAATGGGATTTGACTTGATAAACCAATGTGAAAAATGCAGTATGCTTATATACAGTTGAAGTCAAAATTATTAGCCCTCTTGAATTATTAGCCCTCCTGTATATTTTTTTCTCAGTTTCTGTTCAACGAACAAAAGATTTTTTCAACACATTTCTAAACATAATAGTTTTAGTCACTCATTTCCAATAACTGATTTACTTTATCTTTGTCATGATTACAGTAAATAATGTTTTACTACATATTTTTCAAGATATTAGTTTTCAGTTATTTAAAAGTTTTATTAGGTTAATTAGGCAAGTTAGGGTAATTAGGCAAATCATTGTATAATGATGGTTTGTTCTGTAGACAATTGCTATTAAAGTGCTTATAATATTGACCTTAAAATGGTTTACAAAATAAATAAAAACTGCTTTTATTCAAAGTGAAATAATAAAAATAAGACTTTCTTCAGAAGAGAAAATATTATAGGAAATACTTTTAAAAATCCTTGCTCTGTTAAACATTATTTGGGAAATGTGTGAAAAATCTCAACAAATATCTCAATTAAAGTCTGAATTTCCATTTGTTATTTTACACATTTTCAGATTACTAATCTTTTCCATAATTTCCACAAGAGGGTAGTTTGGAATTTTGAATATGATAAATATAATAAATATATTAAACATTAAACATAATAAATATTAATAAATATAGGAATAATTTTTAAATTGGTGCTAGAATACCTCATTTGGAAAACAGCATGCATGTAAACATGGTGATGAAGTAATAGTTGATTTTCAGTTCAAACTCAGTGTGATTTGACCGTGATCAGTCTGTCTCAGTAATCAGAGGGGATGAAAGTAAAATTAGCCTGTATGAATTTAGTGCTCTGTGGTTCTCTCTAACAGCTTCTACTTACCTGAGAGGTTTTCTGACTGTAATGTGGAAGAGTTTCATGATTTCCTGAACAGTGGAGGCGGCGCTTGTCTCTTCAACAAACCCTCAAAGGTAAACCTTCTTCATTTCAATCTTTTCAATTCATAGCTCTATTATGACATTGTTTACGGCAAAGATTGCCCCATCATCAGAAGGATCATTAACAAAGTATTATAAATGGTTATGTTCCTTTTTTTAGGGTGTATGTAAACTTCTGGGTTCAACTGTACTTCTCACACTTCTTATATTTCAAAATACCAGCAATTGCTTGCATTAAAAATGTCTTCATTGTCACTTTTAACGAATTTAATGCATGTTTGATCACTGAAAGTAGTAATTTAATAATAATAATTAAAATTAAGGGTAACGCTGTGGCGCAGTAGGTAGTGCTGTCGCCTCACAGCAAGAAGGTCGCTGGTTCAAGCTTTGTCTGGGTCAGTTGGCATTTCTGTGTGGAGTTTGCATGTTCTTCCCGTGTTCGCATGGGTTTCCTCCGGGTGCTCTGGTTTCCCTCACAAGTCCAAAGACATGTAGTATAGGTGAATTAGGTAAGCTAAATTGTTCGTAGTGTGTGTGTGAATGAGTGTGTATGGATGTTTCCCAGGGATGGGTTGCAGTTGGAAGGGCATCCGCTGCGTAAAACTTATGGCGGAATAGTTGGTGGTTCATTCCGCTGTGGTGACCCCTGATAAATAAGGGACTAAGCCAAAGGAAAATGAATGAATGAATGAAAACGGTTACTGTTAACTATAATATTTCATTTGAAATTTTGTCGATTTTGTTAAAAGAAATTGCTAAATTATTTTCATTTTAAATCCATATGAAAATAAACAATACATGTGACAAATATTAGGACACTAAATGTAAAATGCAAAGTAACTGTGTTCTTTACTTCACGTTTTTGTTTTCGTTTGCAGCTCTTGGATCCTCCAGAGTGTGGAAATGGCTTTGTGGAGGCAGGAGAGGAGTGTGACTGTGGAAGCCCAGCCGTGAGTGATCTTCCATCAACATCACGATCACATTAATCTGACACTGCTTATGTAATCTCTTTTTTTCCTCTTGTTCTGCAGGAGTGTGCTAAAGAGGGGGAAAACTGCTGCAAAAAATGTATGTTGACTCAGGGAGCCAAATGCAGTGATGGTCTCTGTTGTAAAAACTGCCAGGTAGGTGCTGAGTCATACAAGAAAGAAAAAAAAAAGTGCAGCTGTTTCTGTTTGAGTGAGATTTTTAATGATCATTGTGCTGTCTCTGTAGCTGGAGTTTATGGGTGTGCTTTGTCGAGAGGCTGTCAATGATTGCGACATACCGGAAATGTGCACTGGGAACTCCAGCCAGGTGAGGGCACTGTTGTGCACATCTCACAACACATCCAGCAGGAGCAGAATGGGTTATCTGCTTGTTATATTGTGTATCCACATAAGTTGTGACATATGGAATAGTGTTTCCAGGTCCAAGCCGTTACTCAGTTGAATATGCTATATGCACAGCCAGTGTTTTTTCCCCTACAGATAAACCAGGCCCGGCCCTAACCAATTTGGCGCCCTAGGCAAGATTTCAGGTGGCGCCCCGTCACATCGCAGTAAATTCCACTGCTAGTGTACAGTCATAAGAAACAAAACAGCTTTTTGATCGACTACTACAAGCTGGGAAAATGTCAGATAAATATGCCAATGGCATTAACATTATTGCTGAATAGATCTAATATTTACTCATTTGCTTGTGGAAGGAATGATGGGGGTAGTTACATTAATATTACTATTTTCCAAAACATCTATGCCCTTCCATAACATTAGCTGACGTAACAGATAGCACTATAGCTATTTAATGATTAGCAATGTTATGTCATATCTATCAACGTTGGGATGTTAAAATATGGGACAACAAATAGCTTCAAATGATAGAAAAAATAGCAAACATTAGAAAATATTGACAATAAAATAAAAGGTTTAACCTATTAAAATCAATGGCCTATACAGAAATTAAATAAAGCTATAAAATCTATTTAACTTTTAACTGTATTTGCATATTGTTTAAAGTTACTATAGTTATTTAGTGAAGAGCAGCAAAAGAATCTGTCATTGTGTTTTGTTTGATAATAGAGGTGTTCATGTAAGAATGCACAGATCTAGAATGAATGAATGAATGAAGCATTTGACTACTTTAGTAACTGTTGTGCTCATTTAAGAGAAAAATAGTTGTGTTTAAAATAAAACAAGCAGGATAGAGCAAAAAAAAAAAAAAAAAAACGAAATAAAAGAAGCACTTTTCCGACGGTTTCTTAAGGAGAGCTCCACTCCGCGCGAGCTCAGCTCTCCCGGCTAAACGCATATCCGAGGCTAAACGGAGCAGTGCTCGTAATATCGAGCGAAAAAAAAGAAAAAGATAGCTGTGAAACATAACCAGCTTTGTCTTTTTGTAGGAAACACACTTTAGATCTTTTTAGGGTAAGAGGTTTTTGAGTTATTGCCATCTATCACTGAATGTGTGTCAGGAATATTGAAAACAAAACCAACTTATCCCCGCTCATTTCTGGCGCCCCCTGGATGTACAGCGCCCTTAGCATTTGCCTACACTGCCTATGCCACGGGCCGGCCCTGGGATAAACGTCTGGTCAACGGTTAATGTGACTTTTTTTTTCAAGTCTGTAAGAGTCCAGCTGTGGAGTTTGGTAAAGGCTTCGCCCAGGTCAGGTCTCTTTATCATGGCCAAGTGTGCAGCATCCCGGCTGTCCAGCACATCCAACAGCCTGACATCATCATAGATTTTATGAAGCAGTGCTTTGGAGGTTTCTGAGACATGACGGCCAATCAAGGCCACTAGTTACGGTTTCTTTTACAGCATCGATGTTGTAATGTAATTTAATGTAATGTAATGCCTCTGCCGCTGAGACTGCAGCTCTGCACAAGACGTTTGGCCAGCAGGGAAGTGGAAATGGTTGTGTCCAACTGAGTCTGGTATCTCTCAAGGTTTTTTTTTCTTCACTTTCGCCAATTGGTGAAGTTTTTTCCACGCAGCTGTCGCCACTGGCTTGCATGGTTTGGGATCTGTAGAGATACGCATCGACGGATTTGCTCTTTAGCGTTTGAACTCTCAGTAGTGATTATTAAACCATGATGAACTGAGCTAAACTGAATTGAACTTAAACTCTAAAAATTGAACTGACACTGTTTCAATATACTATGATCTTTTATGTGAAGTTGCTTTGACACAATCTACATTGTAAAAGCGCTATACAAATAAAGGTGAATTGAATTGAATAATTACAATACAATTAGTTCATTAGACTTAAGCATTCATCTAGTTGTTCATGAGTAAAACGAGATGACGCACACACTTTCAGGATCGGCAGGAAACTACAATACCTAATAAAAAAGCCAGTATTTTGTCTGTGACTGTACACATTTAAGAATTATTATGCTCCATGATGCATGGCTAATTATCTTCTACATTTTTTTTTAATTTAAGAGTGAATATGAAAACTGCTTTTTCAATTAATTTTTCAAAAAATATGAAAAATTGCTTCTGTTTCAAACAATACATTATGTACATTATGGGATTTGGTCTTCCATATAGTGTGCCGTGGAAATTTAGTTTAGTCAATGTTATTCCATGCATGAATAAAATTCACGTCGTACTATACATGGTTTATGTATTGTAAACTGTATTTGTTTAAAAACAGTTTATAGTATGCCATTCTCTTGTATTTTGTATTTTCTCAAGCACTTTAGAATTTTATATTTAAGCTCAGTGTATATGCTTTTTAACAGTGTCCTCCAAACCTACACAAGATGGATGGGTACACGTGTGAGAAAGATCAAGTAAGTTTTTGTATATACATATATAATACAGTATAATTAATTATTTATAATATATATTACAATATATTCGTAATTTCATTTATATAATTGTTTCTGTGGACATTTTGTTCTACTTTTCATGTCATTTTAGGGAAGATGTTTCAACGGCAGATGCAAAACCAAGGATAGGCAGTGCAAGTATCTCTGGGGAGAGAGTGAGTGACTTATTAGCATTTATTCACGTTTTACATGAGCTTTTATTTTAATTTCAGTTTTGTTTTTATTGGTGTGTTTCCTTGTAATTTCAATTCGTTTCAAAATATGCATTTTTGTTTTTTACATTTGTTTTTATGTTTAAAGAGGCTATATTATTTAAGAATGTTCACTATTTACCTAAAAATCTCTTTTTCATTCGCCAGTGCGTGAACAGCTCGTAACAAAACTTAAAAAATCACACCTTTTCAGACTTAACCCCTTGGTTATCTAATATTATTTTTATGTAAAAGACATTTTTTCTTGGAAAGCCGGTATTAATAAAATCAAGAGTATCTGAATTCCACAAATAGACCCTATAATATTAGGATTTCCTTTTAATTCAGCTTTATTTCAATTACAAAAAATAGCAACATCACTTTCCACTTTTTGAAACATGTTTTTTTTCTGAATGGTTTTGGTGTGATTATGATTACTTTAATGTCTCTGAAATGTTTCTAAAGAAGCGACATCGGCTGATAAGTTTTGCTATGAGAAACTCAACATTGAGGGCACAGAGAAGGGCAACTGTGGACGTGACAAAGACACCTGGATACAGTGCAAAAAACAGTGAGTTACAACTTTTTTTTACATTATTGTAGTATTACTTTATTATTAATTCCTTAACTTTTTCCCCACCAGCCTTTTTTTTTAAAGTTGCAAGTCACTGCCAATATTTTTGATGATTTTCCACTAAATTTGACAGCGCTCAGAATGTTATCTACTAGGAATATATAACATTATTCATTAATTTAGTCATTTTAATTTGGCTTAGTCGCTTATTAATCAGGGGGCGCCACAGCGGAATGGACTACCAAATATTACAGTAAATGTTTTACACATTGGATGTCCTTCCAGCTGCAACCCAGTACTGGGGAACACCCATACACTTACATTCACAAACACTACGACCAATTTAGTTAATCCAGTTCACCTGTACCGCATGTCTTTGGACTGTGGGGTAAACCGGACCACCCTGTGGAAAACCATGCCAACACGGGGGGGACATGCTACAAACTCTACACAAAAATGCTAACTGGCCCAGCCAGGACTCGAACCAGCAACCTTCTTGCTGTGAGGTGACAGTGATAACCACTGAGTCACCGTGCTGCCCATATATGAAATTGTATATACAAATAAAAAGCCTAGCCTCTGATTTTAAGGGTTACATTCTATCTTCATGTGTTCATGTTGTATCACCACTTGAATGCAGATAGATTTCAAAGCAATTTTTCACACAGTGCATGTGTTATATTGTGGATCATTTCAATAATTGGTGGATCATTTCGTTGTGGCGAGTCCTAATGAAGAATGGAGTAAGCCAAAGGAAAGTTGTTTAGCTTCATTTTTACATGTGGTATGATCTACAGTACACTTTCTCTGATCATCTTATATTTCATACTCAGAAGACCCAGAGGTCTCGTCCTCATTCAGGATGAAGTGCGCTAGAGCAGGGGTGCCCAAACTCGGTCCTGCAGAGCCGGTGTCCTGCATAGTTTAGCTCAAACTTCGTTCAACACACCTGTCTGGAAGTTTCTAGATACCTAGAAAGAGCTTGATTAGTTGGTCTAAGTTTGTTTAATTGGGGTTGGGACTAAAATATTCAGGACACCGGCCCTTCAGGAGCGAGTTTGGGCACCCCTTTGCTAGGACTTCCCTTACCGTAATACACCTGTAACACAGATTGCCGTAAAACTTTATTAGTTGCAGAGAAACATTCATTCATTCATTAATTCATTTTCTTTTCAGCTTAGTCCCTTTATTAAGCTGGGGTCACCAAAGAATTAGTTAAAAATTTATTTTGATTTCAGAAATAATGAGTAAAAATAAAGTCAGTTTTTCTATGAAAAAAGCAAATCAATTTGCCAAAGAGTTAATCAAAATAATCTTGTTTTTGCTTTGAAATAAGGAAAAAGTCACTTAATTTTGTTACACACTTAACATATTAGTTCTGAGAACAAGACAATATTTACTTTAAATATTTATACTAGAAACTCAAGAAAGGCTTTTTTTTCGCAGTATTGATGAGATGTCTGGTCTGTGGCGGGGAAAGATATTTAAAAGTGTGTGTGTGTGTGCGTGTGTGTCTGTTTTCAGGGATGTTCACTGTGGATACCTGCTGTGCTCCAACATTTCTCCAGCACCTAGACTAGGAGAGTTACAGGGAGGATTGACCTCTTTCTCTGTGGCCCAGCACAGCGCTTCACTGGATTGCAGGTACACACGCACGCACACACACACACACACACACACACACACACACACACACACACACACACACTATTTCTTCAGCTTTCTGTGTGTACTTTGATTTTTCTGAATGGAGTGTGAATGTTTCAGTGGAGGGCATGTGCTGATTGATGGTGACACTGATCTGGGATATGTGGAGGACGGGACGGCTTGCGGGACGGATCGCATCTGCTTTAATCACAAATGCCTCCCAGTGCAGGACTTCAACTTCAGCACGTGTCCCGGCACCAATGAAAGAGTGATCTGCTCAGGACATGGGGTGAGAGGTTGTGTGTGGGGTGTGAACTGGGACTGTTTTTTCACCCGTTGATCTAATTTCAGCTTCAGTGCTAAGTGCCATGAGAAAATTTGCTGGATATGTATGCACAATATATATATTTTAAATGGTAAAATTCTATATATTTTTATTAGAAAACTATATGTCTAATAGTACTAATACACTCACCAGCCACTTTATTTGGTACACCTGTCCAACTGCTGTCCAATCAGCCAATCACATGGCAGCAACTCAATGCATTTAAGCAAGACGATCTGCTGCTGTGCAAACCGAGCATTAGAATGGGGAAGAAAGATAATTTAAGTGACTTTGAATGTGTCATGGTTGTTGGTGCCAGACGGGCTGATCTGAGTGTTTCAGAAACTGCTGATCTACTGGAATTTTCACGCACAACCATCTCTAGGGTTTACAGAGAATAAAATATCCAGTGAGCGGCAGTTCTGTGGGGCAAATGCCTTGTTGATGCCAGAGGTCAGAGGAGAATGGCCAGACCGGTTTAAGCTGATAGCAAGGCAACAGTAACCATTCGTTACAACCGAGGTATACAGAAGAGCATCTCTGAACGAACAACGTGTCCAACCTTGAGGCGGATGGGCTACAGCAGCAGAAGACCACATCGGGTGCCACTCCTGTCAGCTACAAACAGGAAACTGAGGCTACAATTCGCACAGGCTCACCAAAATTGGACAATAGAAAATTTAAAAAACGTTGCCTGGTCTGATAAATCTCAATTTCTGCTGCGACATTCGGATGGTAGGGTCAGAATTTGGCGTCAACAACATGAAAGCATGGATCCATCCTGCCTTGTGTCAACGGTTCAGACTGGTGGTGGTGGTGTAATGGTGTGGGGGATATTTTCTTGACACACTTTGGGCCCATTAGTACCAATTGAGCATTGTGTTAATGCCACAGCCTACCTGAGTATTGTTGCTGACCATGTCCATCCCTTTATGACCACAGTGTACTCATCTTCTGATGGCTACTTCCAGCAGGATATGTGTCATGTCATAAAGGGGTAATCCTCTCAGACTGGTTTCTTGAACATGACAATGAGTTCACTGTACTCAAACGGCCTCCACAGTCACCAGCTCTCAATCCAATAGACCACTATTGGGATGTGGTGGAACCGAAGATTCGCATCATAGATGTGCAGCTGACAAATCTGCAGCTTCTGTGTGATGCTATCATGTCAGTATGAACCAAAATCTCTGAGGAATATTTCCAGTACCTTGCTGAATCTGTGCCAAGAACTATTAAGGCAGTTCTGAAGGCAAAGAGGGTCCGACCTGTTGCTAGTAAGGTGCACCTAATAAAGTGGACAGTGACTATATATGTCTAATAGTACTAATCTGTTCAAAACAGTTGAAGTCATAGCATCTTTTATTGTATTGAAAAGGTAATGTTAAATGCAGCTGCTCATCATTGTATTTTGACTAATAAACAAATAGATGTAAATGATCTCTGTGTTGCAGGTGTGCAGTAATGAGCTCAGATGTGTGTGTGAGCTGGGCTGGGCAGGTGAGGACTGTAACGCCACCTCTCCATTGAGTTACCTGCTGGTGCGACCCACAGCCAAAACATCAGGTGAGCCAAACTTTTAGTTTCAACACCTTAGCAGCAGCAGAATGGTGCAGGTGGTCACTCATTTCTGGTACATAAGTTGAGTTTTTTTTTTAGCACTTAATGAGAGATGTTTTATTTAATAATACCTGATTTTGCATTATTTCTGTATAAAATTAGAAAATGCTCAAGGATTTTTTTCCCTTACGGTATTTTTCTTTTAGTTTATCTGGAAGAAAAGAATATATTTTTACAAATGTAACAACTGCATAGATCAATATTATTCAAAAATGATATGTTTTTGTTTCTCATTGGCTACAGAACAAACCACTTTTCATTACTAGTATCATGCAAAATATGCTAGTAAAATATTATGTTCTTCCATTATGGCAAGGAAAAATGACATTTGTTATTAAAATTCTGTTAATAAAATTGTTATTAACTCTCTGTTATGCTGAGTTCAGACTGCACGGTTTTTAAAGTCTTCACATCACAGATGTTTTCAAACTGCATAACTATCTGGGGTAGTGTTCTGTCTGTGCTTTGTTTACACTGCAAGCAGACCCGGCCCTGTACATTTGGGGGCCCTAAGAAAAATTGCTTTGGGGCCCTACCTTGCTCTAAAAAGTGTAGAATTGCCGTTACCATGGCATTAAGTAAACTCAATGGAACAGAAAAGCAAAACTGCCTGATTTCTTCTACTTAAAAGCTGCCTGAATGATTTGGACATTTTAAAACAGCACTGTGTTTGTCAACTAGCAGCTTCAAAAATGAAGAATTAAACTACCTCTAATAAAGGGAGCAGTGATTCCTACTTTGCATCCTTCTGGAGTGTTTAAAACATTTTCTATTAATTTAGCAAACAGATTGAAGATTCTATAAAAGATTCTAGGTTGAGTTTTTTTGTTTTTATTAATTGCAAAAGCAAAAACCCTGCAATGAAACGACACAGAACAATAATTAGCCAAAAGTGAAAATGCATTACTTAGTAATAAAATATACATTCTGAGTTCATTAAAAACAAAAACAACAAAACAATTAACATTAATTCAAAAATTGATCTATAAATAATAAAATAAATAAGCAAATATTATAAAGTATAGATGAAAAATATTAATATAAATAACAAATAACAAAAGGGAAGCAACAAATACTAATTAATAGTATTTATAGTTAATATATAGTTAATACCCAAACGCAATATTATTCCATTCAGTCACCTTCCCTGTTCCTTAACATTTAAGATGCAGGGTCCAGACATAACTTTTATAAACATGTCTCAGGAAACATATTGCCAGTGTGAAAATATGTCAGTGAAAAACACTTCAGTACTATTGCATTTCAGTAAAATTCGTTTAAAATAAATAAATAAATAAACTAAAGGAAAAAACTAAATGTTTTATATTAGTAGACTATGTTTATTAATATGCAATTGCCTATTTTCGATAAATGTGCTATTAGATTATGATTTCATTTTATCATATAATTTATGATATATTATTTCTACGCCGGAAGGATAACGTTAGTTTCGTTTCCTTTTCGTGGAGCAATTTCCAAAATAATTCGGGTATATAACGGGGCAGGCAATGAAGCAAATGCCATGGTTGTGTCTGTGCATGGATTTGCGTTCTTGAGGTAACAGGTCGGTCTTGCAGGTTACCTTGAATCACGAGAACACTGAACGCATATGAGAAATAAGATGCTACGAGCTTCCTGTTGATCACTGTGTGATTGTTACTCACGTGAACGAGCACCGATTTGCCTGTGATTCAGGCATTTATTTATAAGCGATTTCTCAAAAACCTGTTGGCGTGTCAAAATCGTGGCTAAAATCTTGCAGTCTGAACTCGGCATTAAACAGCCCTTGGAAATATTTGAAAAAGAGTACGAAATTTACTGGAGGGCTAATAATTTTATCTTCTACTGTATCTGTCTGACCAGTTGTCTAGTGCAACTTATTTCTAAGAAAAATACAGTATATAAAAATGCCTCCAGCAAGTTAACTCTTCATCACTTTTGATATTAAATGCATAACATACAGTGCTCAGCATAATTGGGTACACCCCATTTAGAAAATTTGAATTTATTTCCTCAGTGAATATGGGAAATATATATTAGTGCATTCAAACAAAACAGATTTATTAAACAGATTTATTTATTAAAATATTATTTTAGTCACAGAACATCTTTAGAAATGGAAAGATAAATCATTTAAATGCACACAAAATATTGCACAAAAATTTGCAAAGTACAACATTTCAACTAAATTGTATATATATTTTTGTTTCTCTTAATTTTTGCTATATTTGAAAATGTTATTTAATATTTTTACCTAACATTTAAATTTGGGCCACTAATTTTTGAACCTTTATTTGTAAGTTATTTTGTGAGATAAGCTTCAGATTTGACTTCAGTACTGACTAAACTAATGTATATGCACTAATATAATATTGTAAAGCTACCAATAGAAAATATTAATTTAAATGAGATATTTTTTAATTGTGTACTCGTATACAGTTGAAGTCAGAATTATTAGCCCCCTTCAATTTTTTTTCTTCTTTTTTAAATATTTTCCAAATGATGTTTAACAGGGCAAGGGAATTTTTACAGTATGTCTGATAATATTTTTTCTTCTGGAAAAAGTCTTATTTGTATTATTTCGGCTAGAATAAAAGCAGTTTTAAATTTTTTAAACACCATTTTAGAGACAAAATTAGTAGCCCCTTTAAGTTATTTTTTTTCTCGATAGTCTACAGAACAAACCATCGTTAAACAATAACTTGCCTAATTACTCTAACTCACCTAGTTAACCTAATTAACCCAGTTAAGCCTTTAAATGTCACTTTACGCTGTATAGAAGTGTCTTGAAAAATATCTAGTCAAATATTACCTACTGTCATCATGACAAAGATAAAATAAATCAGTTATTAGAAATGAGTTACTAAAACTATTATGTTCAGAAATGTGTTGAAAAAATCATCTCTACCTTAAACAGAAATTGGGGAAAAAATAATCAAGCAGTCCAATAATTCCAGGGGGCTAATAATTCTGACTTCAACTGTATGCTGAGCGCTGTATGTCAAAACGAATCTAAAAAACTATTTGACATGCAGTACATTATAACACGTTTACCACTATTTTTAGCACACAGCAGGATGAACCATATTAATGCACTTTATTTAATTATTGCAATTTATTTAATGTGAGATTCAGCACAGAATCAGCTTATAATGAATCTATCATTTACATATTACATTAAATCCATTATCTTTCACAGTTAATTTGATTGAGGCCAAAAAATCCAGTTGTAATCCATTTCCGAGCAAATACACAGATATTAAGATTTTGAATGAACTTATTTTTTACTGGTCTGTTATTCTTCTGTTTTGTTATCATATTCATGTTCAACGGTTCATTCACCACGCTCACATTTCACACGCTTTTAATTTCTCTTTTGATTTGTCTGTTTCATGGCTTTTGTTGATACGCACTCCTTCTTTGTGGACAGGCTCATGTCTTTTGCTGGAGTGACAGTGAGTTTAGATTTGAGTTGTTGTTTGTTGTTGTTGTCGTTTTGTCGTTCACTCACCCCCATCATTCCTCTGTGTTTCTGTCTGAATGAAAGCTAACAGTGTTATTTATCTGCTGTGCTGTGCTGTTACAAACCTCGTCATGTACCCTGTTTATGGATTTGATTTATATGGATGCCTTTACCGTACAGACACCATGGACGGAAAGAATCATACATTTCTATCCCAGAGTTTTTATCCTGGACTGGTTTTGCTGTGCGATCAACTGGACAAAAAATAATAATAGATTTTGTATCAAGCATTAATATTAGTCATGATTACGTCCAGATTCGGTTTGTCCAGATGATTGCAGGTCAGTGTTGACAGCTAGTTGCGTTGGTATTAATTGTTTTGTTTCTCTATCAGGAATCATCACTACTAACATCATCATCGGGGCCATTGCTGGCTCTATCCTGGTCCTTGCATTAATTCTAGGGATTTCTGCATGGGGATATAAGTAAGTAACATGAATACAGATGCATGTTTAAGTTCAGAGTCTGCGTCCTTCAGTTACTAAAGTCATAAGTATGCATGTTTGGAAACATCTTCAAGATTTCCATTGATATGCTTTGTTGGAATAGGACAATATTTGGCTGAATTACAACAATTTCATACCTGAAATCTGAAGGTCCAAACAATATATAATACTTTACAGATGAAAATACTCTTTTTTTACCCTACTGTTGTTTTAATTTTAATTTTCCTAAAAATTCAGAATTTACATATTTAACTTCATTTATTTTTTGTCTTTTTTTCCCTGTGAAGAACCTACAGACAGCGGCAGTATGTTGAATCAGACGTACACAGAAGATTCTGTCGGTTTGTCCACTTTTCTCTTCCTTTTATAGTTCTAATTCTATATGTGTTGTGTGAAGGAGTGCATTTTTTTTCTTTGCTTTAAGGCTAATAGTATTACTCATACTTCTAAATAAAGATTTTGAATAAATAATTTAGCTCTTCGACAAGCCTTCATTTTGTTGATCAAAATCTCAAAGCAGTAAACATTATGAAATATTCTTTACATTTAAATTTGCAGCTTTCTCTATAAGTATATATATATATATATATATATATATATATTTTTTTTTTTTTTTTTTTTTTTTAAATTCTTATGAACTCTCCCAGCAGGCACAGGATGTCAACAATATGTCAGATTGACTTTATACCCTCAGTCAGGAAACCAACATCAGTCCGATGTTAATGTCCAACCTAAAATCAACCAAATATCAACATCTAATGATGTTGGGCTGTTCTGAAATCAGCGATCACTCTAGTCTTGATTGTCTTATAATTCTTAATAAATCATTTTAATAAGAGGATTTTAAAATTTCATTTTAATAAGAGGATTTTTTTTGTGATTAAAAAAGTTTCTAGTTTTATCAATATTGAAAAAGTGCTTTATAAGTAAAGTTGATATAAAGTTCAAAACAGCAGAATTGGTAACACTTTATAATAACTTCACACTATGAATAATTTATTAAGCATTAGCAAATAGTGAATTCATTATCAGTATTAACTCTACATTATTAGATGTTAGTAAGCAGTTTATAAATACAGCTACAAATGCTGTATTCTTGACTTATAAGCACATATTTAATGTGCTTTATAATTGTATTTTTTAACTTTGTTAATGATTATTTTTTCATTATAAATTAAGTATTGAGTTATTTACAAACCTGTTATTTTAAAATAGTTGTGTTTTTTAAAATGTATCATTCAAAATGCATAAGTAAATTATTAATAAACTTTTAAAATTAACAATTATATACCAATAAATAATTTGTGTTAATACATACTTTATTAAGTCTACTTCATCCAATTTTGTGACCTAATCTAAAGTGAAGACTATTTATGCGTTATAAATCCCTTATAAATGACAGTTAAAGGCTCAGTTATATTCTGAACAGGAAAGAAAGAAAATAAATGACTTTATTCATTTCTATTCATTTGAAGATACACAAATGAAACTGTATCAAATAAAAAAATAAATCTTTGCAGTCTTATGTAAAATAAAATTACTGTACAGTTTGAACTTCGCTCAATAACACTGAAATGTTGAACCACGATTTACCACGCATTTATTAACATACATTGTAACCATTACTATATGCCTGAATAATAAAATATATAAATGATAATTTGAATAGTTTTTTAATCATTTAATTACTCATTTTGAATTATCTTAAAAGCCACCACCTACTCTTAAATACAAATGGTTTATAAGAATTGCAATACTGAATTTAGTAATGAATAATTTATAAGTAATAAAGTATGATATAGTACAATTATTAGGCACATTTCACATGCTTATTAGTCAAGCTTACATCATTTGTAGCTGTATTTATAAACTGCTCCTTAACGTCTGTTACTGTAGAGATAATGCTTAATGAATTAACCATTTGCTAATGCTTAATAGATGATTCATAGTGTGTAGTTATACCGCAGAATTTATTCTAAAGTTAGTATTTAGCAACATTATAATATGATTTCTATTTACTTTGTCCTTGTTGAATAAAATATGAGTTTCTTTAAAATAATAAACACGCTGACCCCAGACTTTTAAACGTATTTGTATCCTGCACAGATTTTTGTTGTTTGACAGTATTCCTAGCCCAGTTTTTCAGACCAAACCTTCTTGTGTTTGTCAGGCCGATGCCTCCGGGAGATTATGTGAAGAAGCCTGGAGATGCTGATTCTCTGTACAGTGACATGCCGCAGGGCGTCAGCTCCAACTCCGGCAGCAGCTCCAAGAAGAGGTCTGCTTACCTGTCTCACCTCCAGATCAACACCTGCTCTTTCACCCCCTCTATCCCCTCCATCAGCCAAAACATCTCTCTGTTCGGCTTCAGGTGTGCTTCATCTCCATCTCCATCCTCATCTTCATTGCTTTGCCTGCTCTGCTAACTGACAGATCTTAAGAACAAACATGTAAGGTTATTTTGAGAGCAGTTTTCTTTCATTTAAGCAGGTCATATGATGCTTTGATTCCTTTCTAATTAGTACTGAATGTATCTATATGGGGGTGGCACGGTGGCACAGAGCAAGAAAGTCGCAGGTTTGAGTCCCGGCTGGGCCAGGTGGCTTTTCTGTGTGGAGTTTGCATGTTCTCCCCTTGTCTCCCCCACAGTTCAAAAACATGCGGTATAGGTGAATTGAAGAAACCAAATTAGTTGTAGTGTATGAATAAGTGTGTATGGGTGTTTGCCAGTACTGGGTTGCGTCTGGAAGGGCATCCGCTGCATAAAACATACATACATAGAATGGTTGGAGTTTCAATTTCACTGTGGTGACCTCTGAAATAGAGACTTAGTCGAAAAAAAAATATATATATATGATTAAATGTACTGTATCTACATGTGTATATATAAGTTCATATTGTCTCCCACTAAAAGGCAATTGTGACCCTTAATCACAAAACCAGAAATAAGCGTAATAAAAAATTTAGGTCCCACTTTATATTAAGTGTCCTTAACTACTATGCACTTACATCAAAAAAATAAATACAATGTACTTACTGTGTTTATAATGTATTTGAGAACACTTGTGGTGCTTTTGAGTTGGGATAGAGGTTGGGTTATGGACAGGTTTGGTGGCATGGGTAGTTTAAAGGGTGGGTTAAGGTGTAAGGCAGGGGTGTCAAACTCAATTTCTGGAGGGCCGAAGCCCTGCACAGTTTAGTTCCAACCCTTCTCCAACACACTCACCTGTGGGTTTCAAACAAGTCTGAAGGACTCAATTAGTTTGATCAGGTGTTTAATTAGGGTTGGAACTAAACTGTGCAGAGCTGCGGGCCTTTTGGAACTGAGTTTGACACCTGCGGTGTAAGGGATGGTCAACAGTGTATTTACAAATGTAATTACAAAGGTTAATTACAGATGTAATTACATCCATGTATCAAGCATAAGCATAAGTACACAGTAAATACATGTACAATAATTGCATTGTAACAAACTATTAATTTCTATGTAAGTACATATTAGTTAAGGCCACTTAATATAAAGTGGGACCAAAATTTATGCTTCATCTGAAAAAATAAGCTTTCTATCGATGTATAGTTTGTTATATGACAAGAAATAACTATTTTAAAATCTTTAAAAAAAATCACAATACTGAAAACATCGCCTTTAATTGTTTCCAAATTCCACTCATAGCAATGCATATTACAAATCAAAACTTACTTTTTGATAGATTTATGGAAATAAATGTACTAAATATCTTCATGGAACCTGACCTTCATCATTTTGACACATTTTGGGCTGTTTGTAAATATTTATCCATGCAACATAGAATTGTTTTTTGGATCCAGAGCCACATTTATTCTACATCAGAGATCAAGATCCAGATGCTGGTTTTGCACCTAAAGGCGCATGCACAGAAAGAAGGCTTCAGTAAATTATAGTGTTTCAACAGTTGCAAACCATATGTGTCTTTAACACTCCATTTAAGGTCAGTCTCCATAACAGAAAAATACTTTATAACTCACAATTGTAATTATTATAATTTGTTTTTTAATCTCATAAAACTTTTTCTCAGAATTATTTCTCACAATTGCCTGACATAAACTTGGGGTAATAAAAACATTTTATTTCTCAGAATTGCGATATAAAGTCATAATTGTGAATTATAACATTTCTGAATTCTGACATTATATCACACAATTGTGACTTTGTTTCTCAGAATTGTGGGTTTATATTTTGCAATTTTGAATTAATTACTCGTAATTTCGAGTTAACTGCTTACAATTGAGAAAAAAGTCCGAATTATGAGTTTGTGTCACAAAATTCTGAGATAATTTTGGTTATTTAGTGGTGGGAACAGGCTTGCTTAGTTTCAACAGTTACAAACTAAAAATGTGAAATATTTAATCAAAGCCAGCCTTGAACAGATCTGAAAAAAACAACAACACCATTATTAACTTTTTGTGCTTTAGAAGCTGAAACTTGTGTTTGAGGATCCTTATGTTTCTACATTTTCAACATGTTATAATTATGTACGTTTATAAACCTCTTCGAGTACACACAATAACAAAATACTGCCTTTTTAAGATAACATCATATGACCTCATTAGTAACATAAGACATCAGTGCGTATCTGTGCAAATCTGAAGATTGTTTTAGACAGTGTGATCTCTTCTTAAAAGCTAGAAAAGAAGCAATTGAGACTCGAGAAACATCTCATAAGCTAAAAGGCATTTTGATTTCGATTTTGTCAAGAAGATACAAATGAGATCTCATCTTTTTCTTCCTTTCATAATCAGCAAGTTCCTGCTCTTGAGTTGTATTATTAAAGAATTTGTGTTTTATTTGGCACAGACTTTTAAAAAAAGTGTGCAGTTCCTTCCACAGGACACCATTTTTAGTCAAGATTTGCAGGTTTTTATTCCTTCCTTGATGACTTCTCTGCTGCAGGTTTGTGCTGTTTGTGACTGTCTGTTTTTCTCTCTATTTTTGGTAATTGTTAGTTTTTCTGGCTCTTTTATCATTAATGCTGGTGCAGTAGGTAAATCTGTGTCTTCATGGTGTCATTTCTTCATGATTTCATGCTCATTTTCGCTCATCTCGGCATGTTTGTTCTGCTCATCAAAGTCATGTGGGTCATTCCTGCTTTACAGTACATTTTATTCAGTTTATTTATTTGTATAGAAAGAAATCACTATAAATTTACACTAGCATTTAAATGAATAAGGCTTTAAAACAAGTGAAGATGCTTTGTTTGTTGTTGCCAGAGTAGCCAGTGCATTTGCTGTAAAGGCACAGCAGCTTTATTGCATGTTATTTTTAAAAAATATATTTTTTAACATTAAACTTTTTTTTTTAAGTAAGGAAAAGAGAAAGCCATGCACAATAACTTAATTAGATAGTTTAAGCCAAAATTTGTATTTACTCACCCTCAAGAGGTTCCAAGCCTTTTTTTTAATTTATTTGAAAGAGATATTTAAATACAATGTTTAACCCTCATGCACTGTTGGGGATGTTTTACTCCACTCTAGGGTGATATCGAAATGATACTGTGAAATACACAGTCTTTGTTTTTGTTAGGGATGCACCGATGCCATTTTTTGGACCGATCCGATCTCGATACCAAAATTCTAAGTATTGACCAATATAGATCCGATCCTGATACTGTGCCTTTTTTTAAGCATAATACAGTTTCTGTAATTCTGGTGTTGAACTCAAATAATATATCCTCTTCAGTAAAAAAACAGACCTATAGGCCTACTGTATATGGCAGACGGCACAATCTAACTAAAAACATGATGCTTGCGGTAAACTAGGCGACAGTATATTATTCAAGCATTCGTTACGACATTGATCTGTTATGGTCCAGCTTATGTTTTAAGATTTTTACAATTTTTCTTTGAAATATGCAATAGGCTACCACTATTGACTCTAATGATTGGTAAAATAACCAGCCTTTTAGCAATTCTGATATTTTAGGTTTGACGCAGACTAACCTAAACACTCTGAGGCGAGTTTTACTGAATAATCCCTCATCAAATGTTATCGGAGAAATTTCAAAACGAGGTATGTTTTAGCACCAAAACTGGTCTGTTAAATAAAATATTAATATAAATTAAATTACAGTGAAATATTCAGTGTTTCAGTAGGTGAAACAATTTTCTGTTAATGACCATATTGCGCCCGTCAGTTTCACCTTTATTAATTTTACTTTCTAGTGCCTTTATGGCTTAGTTGGCTTAAACACACAACATATAGCACATGTGCAAGATCGGATTTGAATGGGTACCAGCTTGCTGATACCCAATGCACAAAAACTAATAACGCATCAAAAGCAATGTTGTTACTAATCATTCACATGTCAACACTGTGATAAAAGGTAAAAAAAAATCCAGTCGACAATTATTTTTATACTGAAAATAAGTCATTTTTTGTTTTTTTTCTCCACCAAGTAGGTGACATATTTTTAACCTTGGCAAGTAAAGAGTTAAAATCCTGTAATTTCTTAAACATTCAGTAGTTCTGATCAGGTTGATTGAGGTTGATTGACAGATTTATGCAAAAGTAAAATTGAAAATACATATTTATCTAATGCATTGTTACAGTCGTTTATGTTTTCATCCCTAACTAAACGAAATGGTAGTACATTTAAACAGTGCACGATGGTTAAAACAGGGTAACCATTATAAAGGTATTTACATAGTAGAACAAAAACAATTATGTCATTGGTTACCAGTTTCCAACATTTTTCAAATGTTGTGCTTAACAGAAAAAATAAACTTAAACAGATTTGGGACAAATAAAGGTTGAATAAATGATTACAGAATTTTCAGTTTTGGGTGAACTATCCCTTTAATCCCTAAGCCAATTATCCATCTCAGATGTTGGAATGGGGCATCCAGACATCCAGATATCACCCATGTTCACTTAATTACAATATTATAATAAAATAATGATTTATTTCTTTAATAACATTGAGCTTAATATTTTATTCAAAACACGATAGGAAGATTAATATGTTCTGCTTGGTAGGAATGACCCATGTGGCATCTCAGTCATTTGCTTTCCCTTTGCAAAACCCTTTTAATATCCGTAAGTAATGAACTTGAACCATTCTTTGGTCTAAAGATCGAATGGTCTGTCTCACTCCTGGAGTGAAAGAATCCCAGATGCCAAGCACATCTCTGACGTCTGTGAAAATGGACGACCCAGAAGCAACTCGTGGCAAGGTAACCCAAACATTCATCCTCTCTAAATTATAGAGCTTGAATTAGATTGATTTCAGTGTTCAAGTCATGTGTTGTCTTTGTCTGTTACTGCAGGAAACATCACAGGTACCCGCAAGAAGCTTAAAGGAAAGAAGTTCCGTGCTCGCTCCAACTCCACAGAGTAAGAGAAGTCTTTACCACAAACACAGGCTAAACTCTATGCCATGTGTATCAGTGTGTAAATGTCTTGATGAATTTGATGATATGTGTTTGTTGGTGCAATGCATTGGTTAAATCTCTGGAAAGAACAGCACGCTGAAACTGACCTGCACGTCTGTCATTAACTGTATGGACACAATGGATTGTGATTTCAGCTTGATGCTTGTGTCTGCAACTGAAATCAAACGCATGTGACAAATAACTAAACTAACTACTAACTAAAAAAAAACAAAAAAAACATGAAGCTTACCTACACAAATACTATGTTTTATTGTAATGTTCATTAAAATCTTAAGCAAGATATTCAAAAATATTAGTAAGAGACATCGTACTTCCACAATGTGTTTGACCAGTGAACAGGTTGATGGTTATGGAAAAGTTCTGCTAAATTTAAAGAAAGAGTTCCCAGAAAAATTAACACACTGTCATCATTTATTAAAATATTATTATATTAATTTTTGCTCGCGTTTAATGCCTTGTGACTAAATACTATAACTATAATCTTTTGGTTTGTTGTAGCACTTCAAAAACTCAACATAGGCTCATTCTGAAAATGTAGCCCTATTTACGTTTCTGGAGATCACAAATGATGTAGCCAGAGCTACATATGGCTGCATTTCATCTTTAAAAGGAACGTTACAGGGCTATCGGTCGGTTGGTTAGTCAGTGAGTCAACAGCGGCCTCTGTTGGATTTACGCGAGAAGAGCAGGCATGAATGGCACTCACAAGAGAATTTTGAGATCACAAAAAGCGCACAAAGGGGTCTCTGGTGGATTTGCAAAATAAACGTAGCTCCTGGGATGTATTTTGCTCTCCAGAAATGTATATAGGCAGGTCCGTGCAGATACTGTCCAAAGGGCATGTGCAGGGTAAATTTTCTGAAAAGGGTGGGGTTGTTGTCGTCGTCGTTGCGCGCGCGTACTGAAGAGCCGTGTTGTAGCGTTTGTACTCAAGAGCGGTATTGTCGTGCGCCTACTGAAGGGCGGGGGGGGTGTCGCGGGGGCACTTTTGATCATTTTGGAAGTGCACTTTCTATCCAAGACTAAAAAGGGCATGTGCACTGCACAGGTTGAGCCCTATGTGTGCACGTGCCTGTATATAGGGCTATGTAATCAGAATGAGCCTTGGATGTAAAAACTAGTGAACCAATGAGATTGGTACTTTTGCCATCACATTTGCCAAAGTCAGTTACTAAAAATAAGGAGACCGTCATAAAGTACAAAGTTATACTGATAATATAACTTGTTAACAAGTTTTAATGATTTATGAAGGAAGTCTAATGCTTTGTTTCATTATTTCATCTTTATTTACAAGTAGCAGGATATTTACAGCTACTGTATATTTCTGTCCGTTCACATCCAGTCCCTTTGTGCCCCCTGGCGGCATCGCCACAAACTGATATTATACCTAAAAACATTTTAATAATCCCTTTTCCCTGTGGCGGCACCACATGTGGTGGTAGTGGTCATTTTGAACTGTCACCCACTGTAAAAAATTGGAGTTTATTCATCAAACGCTAAGCTAGCCACTGTCTGTGAACATATTAAAAATGCTGACTTATGAGAATAGTACAAATTATCCACCTTTAGTACCCACAGTATCTTACCTCTGCAGGCTGAGGTTGTTTCTGGACATGGCACTCAAAATGTTCCCTGCATTAAGGTGAATGACAGTGATGCAGATGTGCAGCTGAAATTGATGCTGATGATACACAGAGCAACTTTTTGTGCGATGTTGCTGGGCAGTTTTGCAGAGCGATGTTGCTTGAGTACTTTTTTATTAAGAATAGGCAATATTGGATCTGTAACCCATTGCCCTAATTAGTTACCCACTGTCTCACCATCATTTCCCAAAGTGCTCAAAGTCGTATATGTGTATCATTAGCATGAGAGCTGCCTTTTTTCCCCACACAGAGAACATCACATGAAGAGAAAGTACACGCAAGCATTAACTATTGTATTTGATATGTAACCAATGTAACGGAGGCCAGCTAGCAAAGTGCTATGCTGGTAAACCTCACTCCTCTAACCTCAAAAGGTGCTCTAGCGACAGATGTCTTCAGTCTTAAGCCTCCTTTTTAGAGCAACCGACTCCAGGTTTAGGGGGGTGAGAGTGTAACACAGGCCAGCTAGCGAAGTGCTATGCAGTTAAACCTCACTCCTCTGACCTCAAAAGGTGCTAGCGAAAGACATTAGAAGCCATGGTTTTTAGCCTCCTTGTTAGAGCTATAAACTCCCATAATAAGAATCGCCGGTTCTATCACAGCTCAGACCGGGTTGGTTGCAATAGGACCAGTGAGTTATACTTGGGGGCTCATCCGGGATGGAAGTGAGGTTTAGAAGGGTTACTGTAACAGAGGGCAGCTAGTGAAGTGCTGTGCAGGTAAACCTCACTCCTCTGACCTCAAAAGTTCTAGCGACAGACGCTAGAGGCCATGGTCTTTAGCCTCCTTGTTGGAGCAATCAACTCCCATAAAAAGAATCGCCAGTTTGATCCCAGCTCAAACCGAGTTGGGTGCAGTAGAACCAGTGGGATACATGTGGGGGCTAGTCCGGGATAGGTAAGGTTTAGGGGGGTGAGTATAACGGAGGCCAGCTAGTGAAGTGCTGTGCAGATAAACCACACTCCACTGACCTCTAAAGGTGCTCTAGCAACAGACACTAGAAGCCATGGTCTTTAGCCTCCTTGTTAGAGCAACCAACTCCCATACAAAGAATGGCTGGTTCGATCCCAGCTCAGACCGGGTTGGGTGCAGTAGGACAAATGGGTTACACCGATATTATCAATTAAAATGTATTCAAGTATAAATATTGTTAACCATTTTTTTGTTAAACCAAAACTTTCCAGGCCTTTCCATGTCAAAATTCCATGACTATTCCAGGTTTTCAAGGCAGCAGTTTATAACATGTGCTTTTACCTGTATGTAAGGCAATCAGGACCAATTTTTTTTAGTCCTAATTGCCATCCATACAGTTTAATCTCGTCAATACAATATGTATTATATGTAAACATCAGACTTAATTTTTATACATTAACAGTGTTTGTTCAAACTTGGCACCAATCAGATTTCACTGGTTAAAGACATTTGGCCTCTATCTCCGTCCAAACTACAAGTTTTCACAATAGCTGAATTTTTGTAGCCTTATTTTTTTCCATCCAGCATAATATCTAAGAGCCGCAAAGCTTGATGATATCTGTGTAGGTGCTGAAGTCTGATCTCTCTCTCACCTGCATCATGGACTGTAAGCAATGTCAGTGCTGCTGCTGTCTTTTACCGACTTCCTTCTTTCTTCAATCTCTCCTGTGCTTTTTCTTCTTTTCCCACCCTTCCCTCTCTCCTTCTCTCTGTTCACCATCACTCCTTCTCCGTCCTCCTCCTGCAGGTATTTAACCCCTTGCGTCAAATCAGAATATTATGTAACTAAATGGGTAGAAGATGTGAATAAAAACACTGAAGGACCTTACATTAGGTACAATATCAACAGCCTACATTGTATATATGTCCCCTATCCATTAATTTCTCTCTTCAGTCATTTGTTTCCCTAATAAAATACTATTTTTTTCAGAGATGAGACCTGAGAGTTAGGGTTTTAGGAGAAATCCCTGTCAGAAATACCCAAAATTCATTCATTTCAGTGTATTTGTTTCCTTTCGATACTCTCAACATGGATTATTTTATTCAACAAGTCATCAACAGAAAGAAAACAACCTTCAATATTCGAGTAAATGTAGTGCACTGTATATGCACGAACATTTCTGCAGCTACAAGGATTAACATCCAGAGTTTTCATGAGCCATAAGTGTTTGTCCTGAGAAGTCTTCCATTCATACTTCACAACACAGTCATGTAACTGATGGTTGTCTTTGAAGGAGACAGAAGGCATTTGATAATCAGTGTAAACATCAGTAATCATGAGATGCAAGTATACAGGAATGCCTTTCATATGGTCATCGTACTAAACCAAGATTAGATTTCATTCCAAAATCAACAGGAAAAAATACACTTTTTGTTGCACTGTGACATTTTAAATAACAAATAGGGACGTTTAATCCCAAATTATCATAACTATAATGAATTATTAACTTAAGAATGGTTTTATTCCTTAAAGATCTGATAATGTTTCTTCCCTAATTTAAATAAAATGATTCCCATTTAGGATATTTTCATTTGTTACACTAAAAAAAAAAAAAAAAGTCTGTTAATTAGCAGTTTCCGTATAGTTTATTTACGGTTGTGAATAGCATTATTGGACTTTGATCTCTGCTCTGTTGAGTTTTAATGTTGAAAATTCAACTCTACAGTTTAACAAAATGAATTTTATTGAAATTTTAGATGTTAATATGATGTATAAAAAATAATATATTAAGAAATAAGTCTAGAACTAAAGTTGTTGTAAGTAGAACACCAACCTAAACAATCTATCATTTTAAACTATTAAGAATGTAAATAAAAGTCACTTTTTTTTTTACTTTTCAAAGTTAAAGATTCAATCAAGGTCCCATAATGCAATTCAAAAACATAAATAAATAAATGGGAAAAAATAAAAACATGAATCACAAAATACAAAAAAAAAAAACTGCTAATTAACACGTTTTTTTTTTTTTTTTTTTACAGTGTATCATTGAAAATCAGGTTTATTCCACAAAATATTGCTTTCAAAACTTTTCTGAAGATATTGGGTGTTATGTTGTCTAAAAATGGATGTAACCATGTCTGAAAACAACATGCCATCTTTATGTTATTTTATGCAAAATAAAGATCTAAATGTGAACTTTTTTAAATTTGGAAGAAATGTCAGTAGTTTACAGAAAATTCCCAGCAGGCACATTACATCAACATGCTGTTGTACCCCAGCGTTGTGGGGACGTTGCATCTTGTTTGGAAATAAAAATCAGATTGATGTCTGGACCCAACATCAGGCTGATGTCAAAGTCCAGCTTCCAACCTAAAATCAACCAAATATCAACGTCTAATGATGGTACAGTTTAACGTTGTATAGACGTTACCACTATGACGTCTATCAGACGTTGGATTTTGGTTGCCATACCTGATGAATAAATGTCAATATTTGACGTCAATATTGCGTTGGTTTGCAGTAGGTAGTGATGTCGCCTCACAGCAAGAAGGTCGCTGGTTCGAACCTCGGCTCAGTTGGCGTTGCTGTGTGGAGTTTGCGTGTTCTCCCTGTCTTCGCGTGGGTTTCCTCCGGGTGCTCCGGTTTCCCCCACAGTCCAAAGACATGCGGTACAGGTGAATTGGGAAGGCTAAATTGTCCGTAGTGTATGAGTGTGTGTGAATGTGTGTGTGGATGTTTCCCAGAGATGGGTTGCGGCTGGAAGGGCATCCACTGCATAAAAAGTGGCTGGATAAGTTGGCGGTTCATTCCGCTGTGGCGACCCCGGATTAATAAAGGGACTAAGCCGACAAGAAAATGAATGAATGAATTGCTTTGGTTTTAGATGTTGGCTCGACGTTGGATTAATGATCACTTTCCAACACAACCTAAAAATAACCAAATATCAACGTCTAATGATGTAACAGCTTGACATTGTGTGGACTTTACCACTATGACATCTATCAGACGTTGGATTTTGGTTGCTATACCTGACGAATAAATGTCAATATTTGACGTCAACATGGCGTTGGTTTAAGATGTTGGCTCGAAGTTGTATTTTGGTCACTTTCCAACACAACCTAAAAATAACCAAATATCAACGTTATTAGACGTCAAAATAACATTGTTCTTAGAAGCTGACTAGACATTGAATTTTGGTCACCTGACGTCACGTCCTAAATCTAACCTTATATTAACATCTTATGATGTTGTGAGCCTGCTGGGATTTTGTTTTACTCAAACACCTAACTTTTAAACTCAAGCTGAGGGTTTTCAAATATTCACTTGATTTTTATGACACGCAATTGGTTAATCAATACAAAAATCACGTGACTTTTTTTCCTTTTGATTTTGGATGTAAAAGTGTGTTTTGGTGACGTTCACTCAGGTGCTCTGTGTATATCCTTGTGTTTGTTCATCAGTGTGTGTACATGGAAAACCCAAATGAGCCTCATTAATTGTAGTTAAAGCTCTGTTTTTATTTATTTTGATTCATTATGATTTGTGATTCACTGTTCAGTCCCGCTCACACACTCCTCTCTGCATGCCGGCTGCTGTGTAACCTGTGTTGCTTTTGCGCTCTATGATGTCATCATCGTACGGCTGCCGTAGTCTCTGTGTGGATGATCACATGTGTCTGTCCTGATCACCTCATCATGTCCGCCATGTTTGTAAGCCCACATGACGTCTGGTATGTTTGTTCGTTAAACATCCCAGCTTCACTCTCCACTAAGTGGGTATTTTTGTGGCAAGGACTGATGAAGTTAGTGATTTTGGATGATGGTTTGCTTTTGGAAACACTCCCTCTGACCTCTTCAAGGGGTCAGAGGTGACAGCTCCATGTTTGTTCTGGATCTTGACGCAGTTGTCTGGTTTGTACACTTCAGTGTTAATGTCAGATCTCTGTGATCCCACAGGACGCTGTCACCAGCCAAATCACCCACCTCTTCAACAGGCTCCATCGCCTCCAGCCGGAGATACCCCTACCCCATGCCTCCCCTTCCAGACGAGGAGAGGAAGGCCAACAGACAGAGTGCCAGGGTACGTCGACACCGCTTTGTTTGCATTTAGCAGATTTATTATTATGTAAATGTCAATACAGTTGAAGTCAGAATTATTAGCCCTCCTGTGAATATTTCCCAAATTATATATATATATATATATATATATATATATATATATATATATATATATATATATATATATATATATATATATATATATATATATATATATATATTTATTTATTTTATTTTATTTTATTTTTTATTTTTTTCAAGTGGGTAGTTTTTTTCATAGGGACCAACTATTATGATTCAGGGTTTATCAAGCTGCATTTTGTTTGCTATTATCTAAGAAGCGGCTATAGAAACATATGCATTTCACTATGGAAAGTCTGTCCAGTGATTATATTAGAGTACTTGGTAGATTTAACAAAAGTGAAGTCAGGAGAGTTTAAGGGTCAGTTTTAAGAAGTTTGAAACAAGTGTTGTGCAATGTGCAATTATTGGATTTTTTTTTTTATGAAAATGTAAATGCAAATATTTTGAGAGAAAAAAAATCAGCTTTTTATCCCCGTCTGCCTGAAGATTATTGTAATAATCATAAGTGAGCAGTTTTTGACTTTTTATTATTTAGAGAATCTGAAATATTTTAAGACAAACTTCAAAAATTAAAGATGATTTAGTATTTAAAAATGTTTTATTTTGAATATTTTTTAAATAAATTGGTCTTACACTTCTATTTTCTGATTTTTCATAGTATATATATGTATTAATTCTGGTACTTTCACCCTAAACACAGGCATATCAACCATTTGGTAGAGGCTGATATTTTAGAAATGATGGCATGTGTTGACAAATAAATGCAAGTTCTGGGGTCCGTTCTTCGTACCTCGCTTAAATGATCTAAGATGATTTGGCAGATCCTGGATCTTTTAATCTTGATAACTGATCTCTCGCTAATTTGGTTCTTCAAACAAGTTCGCGAATCAGATTAGAATGTCTGAATGAACTGATCTGAGATCGCTGCGTGTGTTGTGAAGGACAGATCTATCGATCCTCGAAATCATGATCAGCAATGCAACGATTGGCTGATGGCACAGCAGCGTAATGACATCATCTGATTAATATTTAATTATCCATGTGAGCAAAATTACATCAAATTAGCAGTAAACGGCTTGTTAAATATGACACGCAATAACCTTCTACATTTGTTGTGAGCTGCAGGCTTTACACTTTCATGTGTCAAGTGTATTATTCATGTATTTCAATGCAAATCAATGTATTGAGTTCTACATTTAGAAAAGATTTTCTTTATTGTAGTAGCCGGTTTTTTAATCGCTGTATAGAATAACTGGATTTTTACAAAATCATTTTGATATTGGTAAAGACATCTGCAACTTTTGTGAAGCATAATCACTGGCATATTAACTGTCAAAACATGTTTATGACTGCATTAATGTATTATTATTATTTTTTTTTTTTAAGTCACATATTGTACATTTCTATTATCATACACAAATTGTACTAAAGCGATCTAAAAAGTTAATATCAATAAGTTTTCTCTTTGCACCACCAGGTGGCAGTCTTTGTACTTTCATTTCGGGGGTGCAGATTGCATAAGTTTTATTAATATATATAACTTTATTTATTTTATTAATAATTTTAACTTTATATATAGTTAAAAAATATTTACTGTTTTCCCAAGTTTATATAACTACTACTGTAAGAAAATATCAGAATTCGGTACTTTCTCTATTATCTTTGTTTTGAACTGACCCGATCTAATCCTGTTTATATGAATTGTACCTGCTTCCGATCAGGTTTGAGCTAGCAGAACTGTTGCTATGACAACAACTCTCGGATCAGCTTTGAAGAACAAAACAATCCTGGATCGCGTCAAATTGTCAGTAACCAAATCCAGCTAACTAAGTAATCCACGTACGAAGAACGGACCCCAGAAATGCAATCCGAATTGTTTTCATGGTGCGGTAGTTAAAGGGTTAATGAAAAAGATGATATTTTGACTTGCTCAATTCTCAATTCTTAGTCCAGTAGCTGACCATTTTTTAAGGTCACTAATATTTTTTTCAGAAGATCTTTTAAAAAATATCCACAATAAAATCTCTTCATATGAATAGCTCATATCTTACATTTACAAGCATGAAGTAATTTTTCCCCCCGATGATTTGTTTCAGCTGTGGGAAACGTCAATATAAAAGAACCCCTGGAAACTGGTCTGCAAAACTCCGTAAGGACTTTCCTCTGCTTTTGTATGAATGAGAAAATGAAAACCAGTGAGAAAACAAAGGAATTGACATGGAGAAACAAAGGGACGAGTGAGTGGTCTCCTCCGATGTCTGTTCAGCATCTGTGGCATGGAGCCGTCTTTACCCTGGACGTTGAGGAGCGCGGTAACAGATTCCCATTCGTAAAACAGGACTCAGGAATACGATTTCATCACGAGACAAACCCAGAATGGCAGCCGTGCTGAGCAGATACAGAGACAACTGCAGCCACTCGCGCCCCATTAAAACCCCGCCCCCCTAAACACATGCTGTCTTGTGATTGCTGCCCGGGTGCGACAAGCTCACGCAGGAGCAGGAAGTAAACTATTGTTCTGAACGCACGCTGTCACTGTAGAACCTACTGCTGTATGCATGAGAAAAACATGTTTATCCATTCCTTGTAGTGTAACGATGTACAAAAGTTTCAAGATCTTTCACTCAAGGGTGCCGCATGTATCGAAAGACAGCTCCGTAGGCTGGTAAGAATCACATTTGAAACATCCCCCCTCCTCCAAATGCATCACCACAATATCATTCAGTCCAATTCTTACACTTTCTCAGAGAATTTTGTACATATGTCATATAATTCAGAGTGAGATTGTAGTACTTTTTTTTTTTTTTCGGAAAGTGTTTTTGGTGGAACTTTTATTTTAACGTACAGAACGTCTGTCCTAAATTTACATTCGTCTCCAGCCCTAGTGCATGGTACAAGAAGAAGTGTCCTGTTTTCAGCACTTCTACTTTTAATTGGGTAGATTAAGGGATTAGTTCACCCAAAAATTCAAATGATTTCATTAATAACTCTCAATAGACAGAGATGTTCCTGAGACGTCCAGAAAAGGAACCAAAAACCGCGTCAAAACGCATCAGTTTGTTTTTTTTGAGATCTTCTGGGAGTTTCGTGTGATTGCAGTTAAACCTCTGAAGTCACATGGAATGTTTTGGCTAGGTGTTTAGTGTCTTTTTCTTATGATCATTACAGGCTGTGGAGGGTCTGAGAGCTCTCAGATTACATCTAATGTAACTTCGTTTGTGATCTGAAGATGAACAAAGGTCTCAGGGGATTGGAACTAAAGGTTTCTTGCAGCGCAGAAATAAATCTCCGAATAAAACACGGAAGCGGTTGGTAACTTTGAACGGGAGTGAGCAGTCTAACAATATAGCGCTCCATAGTCTCGACGTTATTCGGGAACAGCATATCTGTGCACAGCCAGTGCTCACGACTTTTACCAGTGGCGGAAAGAGTACTGAAAATTCATACTCGAGTAAAAGTACCAATACATGGCCAAAAATGTAGTGCGAGTAAAAGTATATGTTGTAATTATTACTCAAAATATGAGTAAAAAGTAGACCTTAAAAAGTACTCAAGAGCAGGGAGTATTACTCTGTGAAGTAGACATGCAGTTTGTGCAGTGATGTGTAAACGTAACATTCTGTAGTGCATTCAGTTATCTTCTTATATTCCTTCCTTCGTTCATCTTGTCCTTCCTTTATTCATTTGTTTGTTCATTTATTTTCTTTCAGTCATTTGCTCCTTCGTTCCTCCCTTTATTCGTCCCACTCAATCAGTCGTTCGTTCATTCTTTTGTTCTTTCCTTCATTAGCTCCTTTGTTCATTTATTCATTCTTTCGTTCCTTTGTTCCTTCCTTCGTTTGTTCTGTCCTTCCTTAAATCCTTTCTTCCTTCATTTGGTCCTTCCTTCCATTTTTTGTTCGGCCTTTCCTTCAATCGCCCCTTCTTTACGTTCTTCTTTCGATTTATTTAGTGATTTAGTTATGGCTGTTTGGTAATTTCAGTCATCACACAGTCGACACCCTTCATCTTCTCATCAGTGATATGCAGTCTATAAACAGTCTCTGGGTCACTGCGTGTAAAGACTTTGGACATTTTTGATGCTTTCAAAAGGTTTGCTGCATTTAAAAACCCATGTCTTGAGCTAGTTCATTATGATGCGGTTTAGTTTCTGTTTGTGATTTGATTGGACAGGGATCAAATTTTTCTACTTTAGCCAATCACCATCGACAAGAAAAAATAAAGTAGTTACTGCAGGTTGAAGGAAAGTATTAGAGTAAAAGTACTAATACTGCAGTAAAAATATACTCAAGGGAAAGTAAAAGTACACAATTTTTAAAATTTTAAAACTACTTAGCAAATTACAATTTCTGAGGAAAAACTACTCAATTACAGTCATTTGAGTATTTGTAATTAGTTACTGCAAACTGTACGCTTTACCAACATGCGAGAGCAAAGTGAAGACGTGCTGCCATTCAGCTTGCATTAGAAAACAGTCAGTTTACATCAAGTCTGATGTATGGGAGTCTTTTTCATTTGCCATAGATGCAAATGGAAAAAAATACTCTCTCCGTGGTGTCATGATACCTAAAAGTTCTACCCCAGTTAAAGGGCTGGAACCTCTGGTTTAAGGCGGCAATCATATCTCATCATAAAAGCGCAAACAAAACTGACATTTAGCCAACAATTCTTGCACAATCTACAGTTTTACCTGTTATCTCTCTCTTTTGGTAGTACCTAATTTAAACGAATTTCTGGAAACCAGATCTATATTTAGCAGGAACAGTCGGGCCCGGTAGAAACTTATTCTAAGCGGGCAGAGGGTGAACAAAGGCTGAATATACAACGGGTGCGGAATAAAACCTGGCAGGAGCAGGACTAAAAAAATCAGTCTTGTGCAGACCTCTAATTAGAACGACATAGGGGCGAGTAATTAATAACAGAATTAAAATTTTTGGGTGAGCTAACCCTTTAAGGTGCTAAAATAAAGCTGCAATTAAATAGAAGTAGCGACTGATTTTTTTTATTGTATTGCAACTTAAATGCAGGTCTAATAGATCAATAAATAAAGTTGTTGGGCACGGACGCAGTTCTGTATCAGTTGCTGATTTATAGCAAATACCCTGTTTACATCTGGTATTAAGATGGGTTTTTGTCAATTCAGTCACAGTATGGCTCAATTCAGGTGTAAACTTTTTTGAGGTCCACTTTGGAACACTTCAAGAGGTGGTTGTAAACCATTTGGAGAGTAAGAAAGCTCGTTTCGTCAAATGTGTTTGATTTTTTAACACAAAGCTGCAGTGTTTGGCATCATTTTTGGCTATCAGAACAGAAAACTTATTTCACAATATTAGATCAAAAGACCAGGAAAGAGCCCACACAGACTCTCATGGTGAAAACAATGAAAGTGGTGAAAAGGTTGTTAGCACAGGAATGCTCGCTGTTAACTTACTGTATGAACCGAAATACCTGGTGTGAACAGGGCCCATATGCGAGTTTCTAACTAGTTAGTAAATAGTAAAGCGTGTGATTGAGAAGACTGTTTGTTTGTATCATGCACAAGGCCTTCATTAGCCACTGTTGGTGTTTTAAATGTGTTTATTTTGCCCCTCAGTCATCTCACGTTGTTTATATGGTCTCTTAAGCGTAAGAATGTGATTTTAGCCGATTGTTTTGGGGGTACTTCCTTTTTTTGTGATACATGCTGCGTTCACGAACATGACAAGAACAGATTTGCGTATCAGATTTCTCCACCTCATTTTCTGGCGGGATCGCTTTCATGGTGAATGGGGAAAATTTCCAGTTTCAGATACTCCTAGTTAATTTAGCGAAAGAAAACTAGTATTAGTTATTATTTTAGTTTATTGTCATAATAGTAAACATAGCTAATGAATGGAAGCATCCCAACAGGCCCAGGACGTCAACATGAGGTCAGATTGATGTTGTACCCCAATGTTTTGGCACGTTGCATGTTGGATGGAAATGAAAATCGGGTTGAGGTGAGTGTCCAACATCGGACTGACGTTAGATTTTGGTCACTTTCCAACGCAACCTAAAAACAACAAAATATCAAGATCTAATGATGTTACAGCTTGACGTTACCACTATGACGTCTATCAGACATTGGATTTTGGTTGCTATACCTGACGGATAAACAATACGTCGTTGGTTTAAGATGTTGGCTTGACGTTTGATTCCGTTCAATTTCCAAAACAACCTAAAATCAACCAAATATCAACGTCATTTGATCTCGTTATTGGATGTCAAAATAATGTCTTTAGATGCTGACTAGACATTGAATTTTGATCATCTGACATTACAACCTAAATCTAACCTAATATTACCGTCTTATGGCGTTGTGTGTCTGCTGGGATTGAACATTTACGAAAATAGCTGACTTCTCTTTTATCGGAATCCATCAAAATGATTTTCGCCAGAGTAAAATAAGGTGGATTTAACTAACGTGGAATTCAGAATCAATGAAGAAATAAATGTCATGTTTTACATGTGAATATGAATTAATAGTACCAACTAAACCCCGGAGATGTGCGAATGTCTGACTAAACATTTCTGTTGATGAACTATTAATGAGATTTAAATGCTGAGGTTTTCTTTAAACACAATTTCCTTGAATGAACATGTAGGTAGATTTGACATTATGAACTCACAATGCACAGTTTTCTGACTTGGTTTACAGCATGACACCGTCCACACTGCAGTATCGGTATCTCCCGGTCACGTGACCATTCGGCCTTGTTCGATTGCCTATTTCTGGTCAGTATTGTATTATTAATCATCTGTACATAGTCTGCTGTGCGTTCAACCTGTCGGCACTGATTTTTGCACTCTGCCTGTAATCCTCGAATAACATGATGCATATTAAGTATTTTTAAGGTAACTTTGTAAAGTCTTTGATTCCCTCTTCCCCAGTATTACTACATGTACATATTTAACCCTGACGACAAATAAGTGCTTTAGAATGATTAATGCCGCAATAGGTTTTGTGCAAACTGAGGTTTTTATTTCATAAACGGATCGTCTTTGTACACTTGCCCTGTTTCTGTGTTTGTATTTGCAGTTTACGTGCAAAAGTACCACACGGACAACAATATTCATCCACATTAACTCAACGCAAGTTTAGTTTCTTTTTGAATAACCGATCTGAAGCAATACAAGCTGCTCACTGTGACCCTGATCTGTCCGACACAAACTCGAGAGTCAGTAGAACCCGAGTCAAATGAATCGATTCACCCAAGCATCGATCTCCGATTGAAGGACACAACCAAAATACTAATGAATGTATTTAGGGAAAATCATACTTTACACATGTAAGCACCACAACACCAATGCAGGACGTGATTGTTTTGTTTGCAGCTGTACTTTACGTCTTTTTTCATGCCTTACGATTCTCTTCTGTTCACATCTGAACTGTGTTCACAGTGTTGCTGTTCATAGATTCTTCATGGCTGTTTTCTTCATTGTGTGCTGTACATAGACTGATTATTAAACGATAAAAGCTCATTTTTTCATACGGTATCCATTCAGTATTGTAATATATTTAAGATAAAAGTAAAACTTTCATTCGAATCAAGTCTCCTGTGTTCATTACAATGAATAAAAGCATCGTTCACACCAAGATAAGCAAAACATTTTAGACACAATAAACTGACACAAAGAATCGTTTTAGCCTGACGTTGCGACTTCCTCTATAGTACTGTATTGCTGTGTCCCACTTCACATACTATCTGTCCTAAATAGTAAGTAGAGAAAGTGTGTCCCGTAGTATGTTGAAAAGAATATGCCAAAGGTAACTTATCGGGATGGTGTATTATGGCCTGTTTCCACTGAGTGTTACAGTACGGTGAGCTTTTATGGCCATTTCTACTGTAACATACTACTTTTTGGTATATCCTTTCCAAAGGGTACCAAAAGGCGGAGCCAGACGTGCAGCTGAACACTATTGGTTTACAGAGATGCATCACTAGCGTGTACACAAGCCAGGAGAAAGAAAACAAAGGAAGCTCCATTTTTAAATACACAGCAGAAACATTACACATCGTAATAATAAATACTTACATTAATGAGCCATGGTCGACCTGACCACAAACAAACCTTATCGTCATCTTGATGAACAGCCACAAAGCCAAGAAGAGCAGAATCTGCCGTGTGTTCTGATGTTTCACTATCTCGAGAAAGCTTGCTGCGCATCTATATTTGAAATAATGAACTTGAGCTCACATTAATAACATGCGGATGATTATTGATGTGCTTCTGACATCATCAGGAATGTGCAAACACGAGAGATGAGAAGTTTGCACTAACTGTATGTTGCATGTTGTTTTTGAACCCAAATAAGGCCTGAATGCATGTTAAGTGATGTTTTTCTGTAACCGGTATGTGCATAAAGCATCTGTTTTTCCGAGAAGTGCTTCTCATATGATATGGAAAAGACCCGTACAGCTTTGAAATTCAAATGACGTCGGCTGAAACTTTCTTTTACACAACGCCCATCAAAATGGTACCATTGGTACCCTTTAGCAGTGGAGACACAAGCCTGATAAAGGTGATCTGTACCATACCACTCAGTGGAAATGAGTCATTAGTTCCATTATACAGTTAAAGTCAGAATTATTAGCCCCCCCCTTTGAACTTTTTTTTTTTTTTTTTTTTTTTTTTTTTTTTTTTTTTTTAAATATTTCCCAAATGATGTTTAACAGAGCAAGGAAATTTTCACAGTATGTCTGATAGTATTTTTTCTTCTGGAGAAAGTCTTATTTGTTTTATTTTGGCTAGAATAAAAGCAGTTTTAAAATTTTTAAACACCATTTTAAGTACAAAATTATTAGCTTCTTTAAGCTATAATTTTTTTGACAATCTGCAGAGCAAACCCTTGTTATACAATAACTTGCCTATAACCCTAACCTGCCTAGTTAACCTAGTTAAGCCTTTAAATGTCACTTTAAGCTGTATAGAAGTGTCTTGTAAAAGATCTAGTCAAATGTTATTTACTGTCATCATGGCAAAGATAAAATAAATCTGTTATTAGAAATTAGTTATTAAAACTATTATGTTTAGAAATGTGCAGAAAAAACAAAAATCGTTAAACTCTGTTAAATAGAAATTGGGGAAAGGAATAAACAGGAAGGCTAATAATTCATGGGGGCTAATAATTCTGACTTCAACTGTACATTGGAAGAGTAGAACCGTCCATAATCTAACCGCTAATATTGCTCACAATACATAGTGCGTAGAGGACCTGAATTGGTTTAGAACTACAATCTTCTTGGGGGAAAAGTGTAAACAAACTACAAACATGGCGAATGCGCGAGACCAGTTTTCAATTGGAGAGTACTCTGTAAAGTAATTTGAATGACTAATTCATATCTAGCCAACTGCAAAATATTTAAATTGCGTTTTTCTTGATATACGCCATCTGCAACATGACCCAAACATTGCATACTCTTGTTACAGACTCAAAAGTATGTACTGTTTCTTCAGGTATACGAATTGGGACAGCGCATGTAATTCTATTCACACAAAAAAACGCATGGCTTGATGATGCAGTGACTTGAGTGTGGAATCATGGGAGTTGTGGTCTTCATTACATACTACGGTGCTTCTTCAGAAAACATGGATGAGCTTAGGTTTTTAAAACGTATTGCCATAGTAGTATGAAACTGGAAGCGCTTAATTATTGATGATAGGCGACATAAGTCTATGGTTCAAATCCAGAGATGCAATGTTTATGCGAACTATAGTAAATTCCGTCTGTTTAACAGTTCTCCACACACGCACAAAAGGAAAATCATAATATTTGTCTTATTACTAAACCCACCAGTTTATAAACGCAACAAAGAGGTTGTGAGTTACAGTGTTTGATTCATGGAGAGTGTGAAATGTGCCACAAAGCGGTCTCAAAACATAGATTAGCATTTATTAGCTTAGCAGACAGACATGAGGTCAGTAACAGCTACAAAACATGATCATGTTTTAAAAGTGAAATGTTAAAAATGCGAATCGCTCAACGTCATTAGTGCTTTAAGAGAAAGAGAGAAGATCTCGTCATTATGAGATTTACAGCACAGTCCTGAATTCATCAAAAATGAAGCTAGGCACGTGAGCCTCTGCCACCTGCAACAGCAGACAAAACAAAACAACACGGCAAACCTCATCACTTCTGCTGAGGAATGTAAATGTTATTAAATATAAGACCTGAGGGAAATATTTTGTACCTTTCTTGGCAGTTTAGTGTAACGCACATAGTCCTCCAGAAACATTAACGCTCCGACTACATCTGAAGGCATGTCTGGAATCTTCTGACTGGACGAAAAGAGATTTACAGGATTTACGTCAGATTTAGAGATTTACAGATTTACGTCACATTCATTTCACAATTTGTGGATTGTTTTAAGCGTATTTTAACAGGATAATGCAATTTTAAAACTAAGAAATTCATATGAAATGTGCACTCCCTGACAAAAGTCTTGTCGTTGATCTCAGTTGCAAGAGCAACAAATAAAAACTCGTCTTCTAGTTGATCATTTGGAAAAGTGGCAGAAGGTAGATTTTCAGATGAGTCATTTGTTGAACTGTATCCCAATCATCACAAATACTGCAGAAGACCTGGAACCTGCATCAACCCAAGATTCTCACAGATATCAGTCAAGTTTGGTGAAGGAGAAATTAATGGTTTGGGGTTACATTCAGTATAAGGGCATGCAAGAAAGATCTGCAGAGTGGACGGCAACATCAACAGCCTGAGGTATCAAGACATTTGTGCTGCCCATTACATCACAAACCGCAGAAGAAAGCAAATTCTTCAACAGGATAGCTCTCCTTCTCATACTTCAGCCTCCACATCAAAGTTTCTGAAAGCAAAGAAGGTCAAGGTGCTCCAGGATTGGCCAGCCCAGTCACCAGACATGAACATTATCGAGCATGTCAGGGGTAGGATACAACAACAAAACTTTTGTCAGGTAGTGTACATTTACTCATCAATGTGGCATTTGTTTTACTCCCTTCATTGTGGATTTAAACAAAAAATATAACATTATTATAAAATATACATTATATTAGTTTCTCGATGCTTGGAAGGGCATCCGCTACGTAAAACACAAGGTAAATAAGTTGGTGGCTTATTCCGCTGTGGCGACCCCTAAATAATAAAGGGACTAAGCTGGAAAGAAAATGAATGAATGATACATTATTTTGCTATGTACAGTTTAAGCCAAAATGATTATCCCTCCTGTCACACTGTAATTCTTTTGTCAAATGTTTCCCAAGTGCTGTTAAATGAAGATTTTTTAAATCAACACAGTTTTAAAGCAATAGTTTTAATAACTCATTTCTAACAACTCCTTTCTTTTGTTTTGTCATGATGACAGTACATAATACTTTCCTCAATATTTTTTTAAGACACTAGTATTTGAGTGCAATTTAAAGGCTTAACTAGGTTACTTATGCAAGTTTGGTAATTATGAAGTTACTGGAGAGCAGTGGTTTGTTGTGAAGCCATTAAAAATAAACAAAATATCAACATTGACCTTAAAATAAATGCAAATGTATATTTGTTTCCAGCTAAACTAAAAGAAATAACCCCCCACTCACACGGGGCTTCAGTGTCAACACTTGACAAAGGGCGTGTCTGAAGTTGGGACTGACGCGATCGTCATAGCACCGTCAGCCAATGAAATTAGTCAGCAATCAGCTACTGTCTGAGCTGGTGTAGCTGCAAACAGCGATCTGATTGGCTGACGCCTCCATCGGCGCTTGAAAAGTTGAGCAAGTCTCATCTTCTGCAGCGAGCAACGCCACTGAAGCGGCGCCGATAGATCCACGATGCAGTTTGGCAACGCCTGTGGTCACCCATTCAAAGTGAATGGGAAGCGTTGAAGCTGACGCCCCGTGTGAATGGGGCTTAAGACTTTCTCCAAAAGAAAAAACATACATAACAGGAAATACACTGAAAAGAAACATGTTAAAGGACAATTATTCCCCATAATGTATATATTTCTTTCATTCATTTATTCATTTTCTTTTCGGCTTAGTCCCTTTATTAATCCAGGGTCGCCACAGCTAAATGAACCGCCAACTTATCCAGCATGTTTGCTGTGATGACTCCTGACTAATAAAGCCGAAAAGTAAATGAATATATGAATAACTGTGAATGATATTTACTATATGTTGTATTGTTTTAATCTACAAGAGCTTGATTAATTTAGTGAAGTTTATTCATAAACTCATTTCGAGAGGAGCACGTGATTATGATTGAACACGGCTGGTTCCACATTAGCATGCATGATCCACCAATCAGGCCATTCCTAACCCACTATAAAGAGCAAGGGTTTTTTCACTACAGTCATCTTCGATTTGAAGAATCCCCCCTTCCACCCCTACCTTTTCACCTTTCCCTCCATAGGGCAGCACGGTGGCCCAGTGACTAGCACTGTCGCCTCACAGCAAGAACGTCACCGGTTCTAGCCCTTTACCAGGCCGGTGGTCGTTTCTGTGTGTAGTTTGCATGTTCTTCCCGTGCTTGCGTGGGTTTTCCCCGGGTTCTCCGGTTTCCTCCCACATTCCAAAAACATGCACAACTAGTAAATTGATAAATCTAAATTTGCAATACAGGTAATCTCATACTGCAGCATATCTTTTAATAGCATTCAATTTTTAGTCATCAGCTCTTATCAAGGGGGAGTTGTCGAGATCTACCTGAGCTCGAGGCTCCCCTCTCTTCCTCCAAACGGGAGGGAGCCCAGGGCTCAAGAACCCTACAGCATGCCAAACTTGCTTCAATCATCAGCTAAGTGTGAACTCTTGAATTTTCCTTTGGCTCAGTCCCTTATTTATCAGGGGTCGCCACAGTGGAATGAACTGCCAACTAATCCGGCATATGTGTTACCCAGCATATGCCCTTCCAGCTGCAACCCAGTAATGGGAATCAGGTACCTGGTGCACTGCTCCATTATGGAGCGAATAAACTGTCCAATCAGAGCGAGGAACTGCTCCGTGTATCTGGAGTGAAACTGTTTGAGGAGCGTCAGCAGACCCAGAACCAGAGGAGCCCAATCCAGCGCATCTGCAGGCTTTCTGCACGCCATTCCTGAGGAAACACAAAAGCATCCGTTTCCCCTCAAGATGAAGCTGCACAACTGTTTCCAACTTTGAGAATAATATTTCTCCAACATGAAGGATTTCTGAAGAATCAAGTGACACTGAAACCTGGAGTAATAAACTTATGCTTTCAAGTAAAGTATTATTCAAAAGTCTAATATTTTTACCAAAAAAAGGTTTAAAGCCGTTAGTTCTATATTTTTCTGTAGCATGTAAGTTTGAAGCATCAGCTTACATTTCCAAACATAACTTTTGTCATTAATTGTCATCATACAGTGAGATTATTGTCTGCCAACAGGCAGTGCTCCACACAGAGATCTGATCTGATCATCATTCAGTCTGTCTGGAATGACATGAAGAAACAGAACAGACTCAATGCAGAAGAGCTTCAGCAACATCTCTCTAAGATGCTTCAAAAAACCCACCTGCAAAGCTACCTGAAAACCTACAGACAATTAATAGAAGTAAATAGATAAATAAAATGTATTTAGGCATTTTAGAAAGCGTCCTCATTGTTACACTGTGCCTAAAACTTTGAACAGTGTTGTAGCTTTGAAGGTCAAAGGTTTTTGAAGATGATCAGATCAGGGGGTTGTTTCATAAAAGTGGTTAAGAAAAGCAGGGATTAAAGTCAAAAACCCGACCTCAATGAGCCGAACTAGACGTCCACACTTAAATTGGTTCCACAACAGAGTTGAAGATCAGTTGATCAAACTAATCCGAGTTCAGTTTAAATAATCTAGATAGCTGCTCGTGCACGTTACTGTCGTGAAACCTCAGAGGTCGACCATGGCAACAATGAGAACTGAAAGAGCTCTGATATAAGACACAGCTATGTCCACAGCGAGTGAGCCGCGTTTGTTTCTAGAGTTCAAACATGTAATAATTCAAACATAATACTCAAAAACTACGGCTTGCAACAAAGCAAGAGAGAAGCTGACATGAAATTGCAGATCGTCCCAATTTTAAAAAAAAACAGACCACCATCCAAGCCTTTTACGGTTAAATTAAATATTTGTCGCAATACATTGAAATTGTGCTTGATGCGTTCGTGAACTAGAGAATGCGCGCTTTCTGCTTGTTGCTTGCTTGTTGACGTACAAAATGTGTTCAACCTCAACACATTAAGTTGAAAATAATGGCTAAAAAGAGCCGTGCACGCACAAGTGGTGGGATTTTTAACTTGCTGCTGAAACCAGAATGGTGCTTTCCCTTTAATACGTGTGTTTCCCGCGGCCCATGGGAAAAAATCTTTATATTAAAGTGAGGCTACTGCTCGGACCGGATCCATCACCTGATTATTCCACTCAGGCTTTGCAGCTTTATAGTCATTCTTGAAGAAATGTAGTCTACTTCTGTATATCAGTCAGTGCTTTCTTAATATATTTTCTTTTTTTAAATTTTGTAATTTATATACTAGCTAAGTACACCCCTCACAGATCAATATTTTGAATTAATATTTTCTACAGAATCCTTTATAATAACATGTTTGTGCATATACATTAGATTATTCACAACCAAAGCAAAATTTGCAACTGATCAAACAAAATATTACTGAAGATCACACTCCAAAAATTAGCACACCCAAATTAATTAGTTGGGGGAAAATATTAAATAAAATTTTGATAAACAGGGGAAAAACAAAATCAACATAAACATTGAAAAAAGATGACTTGAAATGTTGCAGTTTGCATTTGTTTAGTTTGCAATAACTTATTTTAATTTAAATGTATATGTCGTTCTATTCTAAAAGATGTTTGGTGTATATATGTTTACTAATAGGCGACTATAAAGTTTTAATCACTATTAAGAGGTTAAGTGAAATAAAATGGCATCAAATTACCGCAGGCAAATATTAACATTACTTTGATTAAGCTTGAACTTGACTTAGCCTAAGAGTTAACCTGCCCTGGACCAGGCTAGTTTCCCAGCATAAGTTGCCAGAGTAGCTGAGTTTGAACTATCTTATATTTGACTTATGAAACAGAATTCGCCATTAATAAACCTGACTTGGCAATATAAGCCTGGCTTTTTCTCTAGGCTTGGTTTATGGAGCAGCCTCCAGATCTCTGCGTGGAACACTGCTTGTTAACAGACAATACTCTTACTGTAGAATTACAATTAATGACAACAATAATGTTTGGAAATGTACAGGTAAGTTAATATTTCAAACAGACATGCTACAGAAAAATATAGAACTGACCCACTTTAAACCTTTTTTGTGGAGTTACTCGCTAACCTTGGCTTTTATTGTACTGCAGTTTTGGCAGCTGCGCGATGAGGAAGAGGAAGTTGACGATAGGGAAATAAGGCAGACGCTTGGTTGTGATGTAGATCTGAAAAGAGCACATGAATAAAAGAAACAAGAGATGGTTAATATCACAGCAGGTACGCCTTCAAGAACAGAACATCCGGGCCATTATGATTATTTTTTAAATTAAGACAAGTTTTTTCATGAAGTTACACAAAAAACATCTTAGGGGGTGTGTCATATTCACAAAAAATAAAAAATTCAATATTTAAAATAATTTATAATTTCCAGAGTTTGTTTCTGAGAGATCTGAACACTTTATTAATCGCAGTGGGAAATTGCTTTCTTACAGGTGCTACTTAGACATAGATAAAAAAGATAAAATTGAATTTTAAACATATTAATTAAATTAAACTATTATAATTTAATTAAAGAAAAAAAAAACAATGTATACAAAATAAAATATAATATAACAGCTTGGATAATTTAGGGCTGTTATGGAAAAATAAATATTTCAGTCTCACTGAATTGTTCATTCAATCAATTCATTCCAACTGGCTCATTAATTTAAAAATGACGTGACTATTATAGTTGCGTCCGAAATCACACATTTCCTATAAATATATATATTTTACTATATTGCAAAATAAAGCCAATTATTAAGTCTGAATATATAGTATTTAAAAAACAGCAGATGAAAAGTACCTGCATGACCCACTACTTCTGAGATTCTGAAGTGTGCATCCAATGGACACTGTACTATCCCATGAGGCCACGTGAAATATGTTTTAATGAATGCAACTGACGTGGTAGGTCATGTGACCAATAACAAAAGGCGATATACATCCGAATTCCACTTACACTACTCATATTCATATTATATGGAGTAGTGCTGTTGCAATACTGGAATTTCCAACTTCGATAAGATACCTTAAAAAATATTGATATTTCATACTATATTTGATACAGTGGAGAATCAATTCTGCAATGTTAAAAGTGTGCAAATGAAGAAAAAAGAGAAGGAAATAACCGAACAATGCTTACACCAGGTACATCAACAGGCCTTTAGTTCAAAAGGCAATAAAAGAAAAAAACTAAATAAGTGCAATCTCATCTTATTTACTGATTAAAACAAAAGTGTTCAGATATTATTATTATTAATTATTACTATTTATTATTATTAATTATTCATGGTGAGAGTAGAGAATGAGAGTATCGACACCCATAGATATATACATTAGATGTCGCCTGGCCTATTGTTGTCTATTGGATGGAATGTGTCACTAGCGCTGCCATCTTGCTACAGGGTAGCGCTCCTTTGAAATGAATGCGGGACCAAGGTACAGAGGAGGACTGTGGCCATCCAAAGCCAGAGATATACACATATACACATATATCTATGATCAGGAGTTTTCCTGGATGTTAGCATGTAATTTTTTTTTTAATTACGAAAATTATAATTTTACCACTTTTCTACATTGATGGATCAGTGACCGCACGGGCATTCCTGACAAAAAGCTTGTGTTTGTGTGTACAGAAATGTACTATTCACCCTCCCTGTTAAATTTAATCTAATCCATGTCCTGAAACACAGCTCCTCTCCTGCTTTCACTTCTCATACTGACGGAGAGAGTGATTCGTTTGTGAATGAATCCCCTGAACGACTCTTTCACTAACGTTAGCCGACAATAATACAAGTTTCTAGCAGCACAGCATCTCGTTGTCATATATCTTTTGTATTGTTTGCTGATTTTATTCAGCAAAACTAGCATAAGCCGAGTGTTTAGTGCGAGTTGGAGCTGCTTTGCCGTATGGTGAATGCAGTAAGTGACTGTTATAATCAATAACATTACCTGATTAGCACAAAAGTTCAGAACATTCAAAAACAGAAAAAAAAATTAATATTACCTATGAAATGTTCTGCCTTTGTGCTTTGTTTTCTTTGTTTGCTCGTTACTACACCCGTAGACAGAGCTAAAGTCCCACATCTTCACGTAATAACACTGTCTTGACTAGTGCGGTTGAATGACATTTGTCCTGGGAGCACTGTACCAATGTGGCGGCACTATTGACGCATGCTCAGGGTCCCTATGCGATATATAGTGTATATATCTATGTATCAACACCAACCAAAAGCAAGACTGTATCATTTGAAATATTTCAGCATCAATATTTATCAATATATCCATATTTTTGACAACACTACTATATAGAAAATACTTTTCTAGTAGTGGTCAAGTAAGGTCAAATTTAAATGCGGTACCTACTTGAATAGTATGTGAATTTAGAGGCAATCTATGAATGGATCATTGAATCGCTCACTCATTTGATTCATTCAAAAACTCATTAGCATTCTAGAATGCTAATTAATTTAGTATTTTTATTTGAAATAAAATGACATGTTTTAGACAATTAGCTGTATTAACCATACACATTTTAATAAATGCAACATTAATTTATATTTTAAATACTCATATATCACTTATTTGATTGAATCAAGAAGAGATTGATTCAGGAGTAAGTCATCACAATATTTATCAATAGTTTTGACAACACTACTACGTAGAACACACTTTTCTAATGGTCTTCAAGTAAATTCTAATTCAAATGCAGTACTTACTTGAATAGTATGCAAATTATGAATGGATCATTGAATCACTCACTCGTTTGGTTCATTCAAAACCTCCTTTAAGTTCTAGAATGTAAATTCTAATAGGCTTAATCTTGCAGTCAATGCTTTGGTACTCTAAAGATGTGTTTTTTTCTGAGTGGCATTCCTGATAAAAACAACAATTATGACATCATCATACACGCTTAATTTTTCACATGCACTCGACTGACCTTGTTGAGCGGATTGTGTATTCCTGCAGCCTCCAGGTAGGCAGTGATCTCATACAGAAGAGTGTTGTCTTCTTTAGGATACGGCAGTGATGGATCCTGGTAATGAGCTTCAATATCGGACAGCAGGGACCTTAAAAACACCACACTTGCGCTGTAAGTTCTCAGAAGATAAAACTGACACAAGAGCTTCACAAATAAAGGAAGAAAAATCACTTGTTGAGGTTGTCCAGCGCTGCAGCGAGATGTTTGGAGTCAAATTTGCAGGAGTAATTGAGCTCGTTGGCAATCTGCTGCCTCAAGATCTGCATCTGACCCACCTGTTAAACATTGTTTTGTTCAGCATGAACATAAAAAAAACTCTCAAACAGACATTGCAAAATGTTACATTTCTGCAATATACAGTTAAAGTCAGAATTATTAGCTCTCCTTTCAGTTTTTGTTTTCTTTTTTAAATATTTCCCAAATGATGTTTGACAGAGCAAGGAAATTTTCACAGTATGTCTGATAATATTTTTTCTTCTAGAGAGAGTGTTATTTGTTTTATTTCAGCAAGAATAAAAGCAGTTTTTATTTTTTTATGAACCATTTTAAGGTCCAAATTATTAGACCCTTTAAGCTATAATTTTTTTTCGATAGTCTACAGAACAAACCACCATTATACAATAACTTGCCTAATTACCCTAACCTGCCTAGTTAACCTATTTAAGCCTTTAAATGTCACTTTGCTGTACAGAAGTGTCTTGAAAAATATCTAGTCAAATATTATTTATTGTCATCATGGTAAAATAAATCAGTTATTAGAAATGAGTTATTAAAACTATTATGATTAGAAATGTATTTAAAAAAATCTTCCCTCCATTAAACAAAAATCAGGGAAATATAAAACAGGGGGGCTAAAAAATCTGACTTTAACTGTATATTATATTATGGTTTTGCAATCTAAAAATGTGATTGTAATGAAAGTCAATGGACCAAAAACAGCCACCAACAGTAAATTAGGTTTAGTAAAGTGTTAAAAAAAATCTCCTCCCCACTGAACAGAAATTAGGGGAAAAATAAACAGGAGGGCTAATAATTCTGACTTCAACTATATATTGCGATAACAACACAATTTCACCAGACGGTTTGAATAGCTCTATTTAACATTTCCGAAAAGCATCCAAGTTCAGAAATTAAATAATCACAATGCAAAAAAATCTTAAATAAAGAAACGTTTTCTGGACAAGTAAAATCAATGTTTTGTTTTCAGAAATAATATGTTAAAATTGAGTAATTGAGTAAAAAATACGCCAATGGGGTACGTAAAATAATATTGTTTTAAGCTTGAATGTGTAGATTTTTAGACTAGAAATAAGACTTAATTCTAAGTAAGAAAAACATTTATTTCAGTGCAATTTATCTTCGGTCAGCCTCCCAACTTCATCATTCACACCTTCATGATGGATTCCAGATACGGGCTCCAGATCTTCTGTGTTTTGGCCGCAGCATTTGTGTAGACTTTGCTTGCATTTGCTGAAAAGATTGACAAATGATCCATCAGGAACAATGCGACTTAAGACTTTTCATACACTGTAAAAAATGCTGGGTTCCACACAATCATCTTGTCTCAATGCAAATCGATTAAGATCACCTATTAGTTTTTAGAATTTTAAGTTGATTGAACATAAGACAATTAAATTGTCTCAAAAAAAAGCTTAAGAATCATGTGCTTTCAGCTTATTTTAAATAATTAGTTAGAATTTTTTTTTGTTTTTTGAGTGTATGAATTGTGACTTTTGAGTTTAAGATGTTTTGTAATTTGTTTATTTCTTATAATTCTGATTTGTGCAGTGGTGCGTCAAACATACATACCCACAATTCCTTTGACAGGATTGACAGCGGTCAGCAGAGCTTTGAAGACGTCTACCACAGCTTTATCCTTCAGGATGCTCTTCTGAAGAACTGTCAGGAAATTCTGCAGAGGAGATTTTATTATTGTTATCATTGTAATAATTATTAATGCGACATTTATATAAAGAGGGATCTCATGGTTTTCACAATAGGTAGGAGTGCCAGCTCTAACTTCTTGATGCAATTATAATTGTTATAATCAAAGTTTTATTTCTAAAAATGTGAACTTTTTATGCAGATTGGCTTGCTCAAATTTATTTGCATTTATTAGTAAAACAAACTGCTATAATTTTTTCATTTACAGTACATGTATTGTGAAAAGGGTAAAGGAGTAAATTATTATAGTTTTGTTATCAAATAATATTAATAATATGAATTATTCATTCATTCATTTTCTTTTCAGCTTAGCCCCTTTATTAATCTGGGGTCACCACAGCGGAATGAGCCACCAACTTATCCAGCATGTGTTTTACGCAACAGATACCCTTCGAGACGCAACCCAAATATGAATTAATATTATTATTATTATTATTATTAATCATCCTAATTACAATTATATTTATATCAATGTATGTTAGAATTAAATTAAGCGAGCTAACATTAAAAACAAGGTGTTTTAATTATATCATAATTAGGGTGACACGATGGCACAGTGGGCAGCGCTGTCGCCTCACAGAAAGAAGGTCGCTGGTTCGAGCCCTGGCTGGGTCAGTTGGCATGTTCTCCCCATGTTCGTGTGGGTTTCCTCCGGGTGCTCCGGTTTCCCCCACAGTCCAAAGACATGCACTATAGTTGAATTGAATAAGCTAAATTGGCCATAGTGTAAGTGTGAATGTGAGACTGTATGGGTGTTTCCCAGTACTGGGTTGCGGCTGGAAGGGCAGTGTAAAAAATATGCTGGATAAATTGGTAGTTCATTCTGCTGCGGTGACCCCTGATTAATAAAGGGTCTAAGCCGAAGAAAAATGAATTAATGAAGGAATGAATATTATAATTGGATTACTACAATTTGTTTAAAAACTATTTAATTACAAGCTAAACACTACAAAGTTTAAAATATTCAGCTCCAGTTTTATTTAGAACCTTTTTCGTTGTAAAATGAGAAAAAAATGGACAACATTGTTTCAATCGTTTCCTCCACTTGTTTCAAAACGTTATAAAATTTCTTCTGCTGAACACCAAAAAATATATACTGAACAATATTTTTAAAAACAGCTATTGACATCCACAGTATTTTGTGTTCCTGTTATAATAGCTGCTTTTGTCCCAACATTCTTCTGAATATCTTTGTCTTGGGTGAGAGTAAATATTTTCACACATATTTTTGGGTGACCTTCAACTTACATTATTTGATTTCATAACTACAATTATACTGGCATTATTATAATAAATCAGGTTATTAATACAGTTAAGGTCTGAATTAATAGCCCTCCTGAATTTTTAGCCCCTCTGTATATTTTTTCCCCAATTTCTCTTTAATGGAGAGAAGATTTTTTTCAACACATTTCTAAACATAATAGTTTTAATAACTTAATTCTAATAATTATAATAATATTTATTTTGTCTTTGCCGTCATGACAGTAAATAATATTTTACTAGATCTTTTTTTTCAAGACAGCTTAAAGTGACACTGAAAGGCTTAATTAGGTTAATTAGGCAAGTCTTTGTATAACAATGGTTTGTTCTGTAGACAAACAATAAATATAAATAGCTTAAAGGGGCTAATAATTTTGACCTTAAAATGATTTAAAAAAATTAAAAACGGCTTTTATTCTAGTCGAAATAAAACAAATAAGGCTTTCTCCAGAAGAAAAAATATTATAGGAAATACTGTGAAAAATTCTTTGCTCTGTTAAACCTCATTCGCTAAATATTTGAAAAAGAAAAGAAAATTCACAGGAGAGCTAATCATTTTGACTTCAACTGTATTAGGCCAGACCTGCAGCTCTTTGACGATCATAAAGCACAGGAGTCTGTCCAGTCCGTTCAGCCCGAACGTTCCCAGCGTGTCCTGAATCTCAGAAAACAGCCGGTTGTTTGTCACTTCCTGATGCGTTCTCAGATCATACCAGGTGTTGAGCTGGTCAATGTAACACGTCACCCTGAGAGGAATAGACATGATGGATATGATATTAATCGTTCAGGTGTCAACCCTTTAAAAGTCTGAAATAATGCAGTTTGCACACTCACTTGGGGTCTGTGATCCTCAGGATTTCCCTGCAAAGACGTCCAATAAATGTGGCGGATTCATCAACTGATGGATATTTAGGAATGGGAATGTGGGTGGACTGGTGGACGCTTTGCCAATCTTGGATCTGAAAAGATGATCATTATTTTTTTAAATTAATGCCCGTAAAACATAAAATAAAATAGGTAAAATTTGCATTTCTGTGCATTTAGGCTTCATGTAGTGTGCGAGTTAACAGTTTGTGAATGAAAAGTCTTCAGCGTATCGAAAATCATCATGAATCGAGTCTGAAATGGCTAAAACATATTCAGTTTTGTAACATATTGCATAACACTAGTCTAGTCTAGATGGGTTTCCATCATTCTGTGTTAATGTGCATTTTCTATATCTACATCCATTTCATAAAATCACAACAAATGGCAAATTTCAAAAAGGCTAATGAAAATTCCTTTATTTAGAAAAAAAAATACATTTTTAAGCTTACTTGTGGTAAATGCAAAATTAACGGGTCAGACTTTACAGTAGGGATTCATTAGTTATTGTATTGACTAACATGACCTAAGTATGAACAATATTTGTACAACCTTTATTAATCGTAGTTCAACATTTACGAATGCATTATTAAAATCAAATTCATGCTTGTTAACATTAGTTAATGCAAGTTAAAAGAGTTAAAATCAACTAACAATGAACAAATACTCTAATAACTGTATTATTCATAGTTTGTTTATGTTAGTAAGTGCATTAACTAGTGTTAACTAATACAGCCTTACTGTAAAGAGTTACCACTTAATGCAAACCGCTAAAGTGATAATTCTCCCAAAACTGTAGTTTTTTACAATTTAATTACCCTTGACTTTCAGACCTTTATGAGTTTCTTTCTTCTGTTCAAAAAAAAAAAGATTTTTAAAAAATGTTGGAACCGTCAAACCATCGACTTATCTATAGTATTTGTTTTTCCCTCTATGAAAGTCAGTTAAAGGTTTTCAGCTTTCTTCAAAATATCTTAAAGTTTTGAAACCACTTGAGAGAGTGTTCTAGTGAGTAAATTTCAATTCTTTTCGTGAATTATCACTTTATTGTGAAAAAACAGAAAATGGAAATGCATTTGACTGATAAATTCAGACTTAGTGAAGATTACACCCACGTGACCAATCGGCTGTCTCCATTTTGCTTGCCTTGTTTACTGTTGGTTACTAGGTTACCAATACAGTCAGCCGTTCTAACAACCTGATGGAATTTTTGCTTTTTCGCAAACTTTACACCGTGTCCTAACTAAACACAACAATAAAAGGGAAAAGAAATCTTTAGTTAGTTAAAACCTAAGATGAACATTTTTTATCCTAACCATCTGCGACAACGACACAAAATTTGTATTTTATAAGCAAAACAACAGCATGTACTACTATGACAAATTATTTCCTCAGGTACTGATTATGTGCTTTATTCAGTGTTAAATGCTATTACTGTAAGTTTAAACAACATCTACATGACTTTTATTGGCATACTACTGAACGCAGCAGCAGATATTTGAACTCAGATTTTGAAAATTGTTTGAAAATGAAAGTCAGTGATTCAGTGAAAACCAAAACATCAGTCATTCAGCGCATGTCCTTTTAATTATGTTAAATATGTATGAAATAGAATCTAACCCATACCATTTGGTCAGGAGTGCTCTGGATGGCATTTAAATAATTCTGCGCTTGTTGAGTTGGATGTTGTTAGGACACGATGTCAGAAAGTTTTTTTTTATTATTATTATTTATTCAATTGTTTTAAGTATGCATCTGTATGTATGTGATAGTGTTTCTAATTAATTATAAACTAATTTAGTGTATACTTGTGTTTTCCTGATAATTTCTGAATTGAACTAGTGTGTGGTTTTATTGTGTTTGTGAATCTGTATAGGTATCGATATTATTTATATTGTTTTTACAATATAGTTATTATTTTCTGCCTAATAAAGCAAAAAAAAAAAAAAAAGGTCACATATTAATTGTTTTATACTGTAAAGCAGGGGTCACCAACATGGTGCTCGTGGGGACCAGGCAGCCCAGCAGGTTCACATGAATTGCCCGTAGGCCTGTTCTAGAAAACAGCTCACCATAGCACCACATATGAGTAAGCTGCATCTAATATTTTTATAGGTATTCTTTCTTTAATCACACTTGCATTGGTGTAAATTTGAAAATGACTTTAAGTTATATATTAAAAAAAACTTTAAAAACTATTTCAGACAAATGAAGTGTTGCATATTGATATTTATCTACCTTGTTGAATCATTGTTGACAACTACTGTGAGAAATCATTAACATGATCAATGTCTTCACATAGATGAATAATATTAATTATTAATAATAACATATAATTAAAAGAAAATTAAGAAAAATGTGTTATTTAATAACTGGTAGCCCTTCATACTCATCTGTACCCAAAAAGTAGCTCTCAGTATCTAAAAGGTTGGTGACCCCTGCTGTACAGTCTGGATGGATACCCTTATCTAAAACGCCAGTCTAGACAAGGACAGTTATCATTCTAAAAATCACACCCTGTATGAATAATGTACAACAACAAAAAAACAGACCTTTGTCCTAAGGAAACTGTTGCACTCCTGCTCTACGTTGTAGTTGATTATTCGAGATACTTCCTCCTGCCAGATCTTCAGGCCGTAGATGCTCACGTAATCCTGAATGTACTCAAACGAGCGATAAAACCCATCCATAGTGGCAGCCATTTCCTTCAGCTTTGGCATCAGTTCACTGGGCTGAAAGAAACGTCAGAAAGCAACACCTCACACAAACTCAAAAACAACTAAATAGATATGAGGAAATCCAGAAATAATGACAGAATAGTTGTTACTTAGCAGGTTTGTTTGCTCACTTTGGCTTTAGGGTTGAAGATGAGGCCTTTATGCAAAGCGTACGCTACACGTTTGACAAGCTCTTTCCTGATCCCGTCCTCCAGAAGCTGCTTGGGATCCACCTGAAACACACATTTGCATGGTGATGAGCTCTTGAACTCAAAGCGTAACATTCATAAAATATTTAGTGTACCTGAATGATCCCAACAAGTGTGGTCTTCATCATCAGGATACCTTCGGTGAAGACGGAGATGGCATGAGTGAGTTTAGCTACCTGTCAAATGAAGAAGGCCATAACGATAGTATTATTATTTAAATAATTATGCAAAATGAATTTATGCCAGTACTGTAATAACATACTATTGACTCAGATCTGAGACACAAAAACTTCTAGATGCAAAACCTTGATTTTATGGCAAAAATGTACATGTACAAATATCAAGATATAAATAAAGAAAATATAATCATATAAATCAAATGAAGGGCGACGCAGTGGCGCAGTAGGTTCGATCCTCGGCTCAGTTGGCGTTTTTGTGTGGAGTTTGCATGTTCTCCCTGCGTTCGCGTGGGGTTTCCTCCGGGTGCTCCGGTTTCCCCCACAGTCCAAAGACATGTGGTACAGGTGAATTGGGTAGGCTAAATTGTCCGTAGTGTATGAGTGTGTGTGTGAATGCGTGTGTGGATGTTTCCCAGAGATGGGTTGCGGCTGGAAGGGCATCCACTGCGTAAAAATGTGCTGGATAAGTTGGCGGTTCATTCCGCTGTGGCGAACCCGGATTAATAAGGGACTAAACCGACAAGAAAATGAATGAATAAATGAATCAAACACAAAAAATAGACAATCAAATATAAAATAAACAAATGTATAGAGTAAAAGAATCCAAAATCTAATACCACATATATACTCTAGTCTACAGCATGTATTATGTTGTAGTTTTTTATGCTAATCTACGAAATACTATTACTGCACTATATTGAAGAATAAATCAAAACAAACACTATTACATTGTTTTGTTTTGTATTGCAGTACAATTTAAGGATGTGAAAAATGTAAGGTTAATTTTTATGAAAATGTTAACGCAAAAAAGTTGAACCTGTGTTTTGAACAAAATTTTTAGGGTAGAATATGCAGGTTTTAAGTGACTTGTGCAGGAAAAGTAATACATATTAACATTCACTGTAAAAACCCTGAAGTATTAATAGTGGCTATTACAGGACTTTTGAATTTTTATCATTAATTAACTAACCAACTAACTAACTAACTGAATAAATAAAAAAATAAATATAGTACAAAAATAAATAAAACATAAAAAAATTAAATAAAAATTTTATTTAAATAAATAAAAGTTTATTGTCATTCAAGTCAAATGAAGTTAACATATACACTACCTGACAAAAGTCTTGTCGCCTATCCAAGTTTAAGGAACAACAAATAATAACTTGACTACAAGTTGATAATTTGGTATCAGAAGTGGCTTATATGAAAGGCAAAGGCCTCTAACTTACGCTTATTTAACCAAAATAAAATATGATCATTCCCTGAATTTTAATTATTTAATTAGGACAGTAAGGTCTGACTTTGCTTGGACAAAAGTCAGAAATAATGTACAGTATGGAATATAAAGTCATGCTGCAGTGGAAAAGGAATTAATATTGTGTCTGACTCCCATGAGCTTGGAAGACTGCATCCATACATCTCGGCAATGACTCAAATAACTTATTAATAAAGTCATCTGGAATGGCAAAGAACGCGTTCTTGCAGGACTCCCAGAGTTCATCAAGATTCTTTGGATTCATCTGCAATGTGTCCTTTTTCATCCTACCCCAGACATGCTCAATAATGTTCGTATCTGGTGACTGGGCTGGCCAATCCTGGAGCACCTTGACCTTTTTTGCTTTCAGGAACTTTGATGTGGAGGCTGAAGTATGAGAAGGAGAGCTAACCTGCTGAAGAATTTGCTCTCTCCTGGTTTGTGATGTAATGGGCAACACAAATGTCTTGATACCTCAGGCTGTTGATGTTGCCATCCACTCTGCTGATCTCTCGTATGCCCCCATACTAAATGTTACCCCAAACCATGATCATTCCTTCACCAAACTTGAATGGTTTCTGTAAGAGTCTTGAGTTTATGCAGGTTCCAATAGGTCTTCTGCAGTGTTTGTGATGATTGGGATGCAGTTCAACAGATGATTCATCTGAAAATCTACCTTCTGCCACTTTTCCAAATAATCAACTAGAAGACAAGTTTTTATTTGTTATCTTTTACAACTGAGACTGACCACAAGACTTTTGTCTTGTGTATGGTTCAATGCCCCATACAATGTTAAAATACAATGCAAAAAAATAACACCAGTATGCAATTTAATGAGCAAGTTTACACATGTTTAATGGCATCCAACTCTCACTCTTATTGAGGCTCATTACCGCCACATTCACCATCAGTCAGTCCTACCTCATAGCGGGCACTGAGCTGAGAGTAATCCTTGAGTTTGTCTTTGTCCAAGCGTGTGGGCACCTCCATAATGTCATGAATCTGCAGCTTGATGATTTTGGCCAGTGAGGTGAACATACTCTCTGGAATGATCTGCAGCACCTTCCGGAAAAAACAGATCTGTCCAACTGTGTTTCTGAATCCAGTTAGCATACAGCAGCATTAATGAAGCCTTTCCAAACCTTTCTAACGTATGCCACCAGCTCCCCGGAGTAAAACTGAGAGACGCTCAGAAGGTCGGGACTGTTGACCTGGTTGATTCGCAGCAGAGGCAGATCCAGTGCAGACGCCAGCTGTTCAGAACATTGGGTTACAGGTGGATTTGTTTCTGGTGTTGCACCATAAGAGGACAGTTTTACTCACCTTTAAAAAAGTGGCTCTGAGCTTGGTCACCATTGATGGGTTTGCTCTGATGCTCTCTTGCATTATTGCGGTGAAGCTGTGAGAAATGTGCAGAAGAGGAACTTTAACCATTGAGCATCTATGTGTGTTTTTGTTTTGGCTTTGGTGGCATGGTGGCTCAGCGGTTAGCACTGTCGCCTCACAGCAAGAAGGTTGCTAATTCGAGTCCCGGCTGTGCCAGTTGGTATTTCTGTGTGGAGTTTGCATGTTCTCCCCATGTTGATGTGGGTTTCCTCCGGGTGCTCTGGTTTCCCCTACAGTCCAAAGACATGTCGATGAACTAAATTGGTTGTAGTGTATGAGTTTGTGTGTGAATGAGAGTGTATGAATGTTTCCCAGTACTGGGTTGCGGATGGAAGGGCATCCACTGTGGAAAACATATGCTTGGCGGTTCATTCCGCTGTGACGACCCCACATAATCAGGAACTAAGCCAAAAAAAATCAATAAAAAGATTAAATGTGCAAGAAAATAAAATGAAACCAGTTTTTGGGCATCACCTGTCAATGATCTGCCAGGCGTAGGACAAATCCCCCACTATCTGCATGGTGATGAGCACTTCCTCTTTAATATTGATGGTGCGGATCATCTGATGCAGGAACTTGCGGGTGTCCGCCAGGAACTGACACACCTGCAGGTTGGACTCCAGCTGGTGAAACTCTTGGACCTTTCAGAAAAGCATTAACTGTGTGAAATCCTTGAAGACAATCACAGGATAGCACGTTTAGATGTGTTTGTACCTCCACCAGAGCCTGAATGAGCTGTACAGTCTTCCTGCCGGCAGCCGTGGAGTCTTCATAGTTCAGGGACTCGATCTGTTTGGAGATTTCTCTGAACCAGGCCTGAAGATTCTCTGATGAAGCAAACGGATGCATGAACACACGGTCAATAACGCTGAGTTACTTTAAAACAATTATGCAAAAGAAATCTGAGCAAGTACAATAACAACCTGTTGACTTGGATCTGAACACAAACCCTTCTAGCTGCACAAGCTTGATTTTGTTGGAAAACATATAAATGTACATAGTGGATATAGAGATTGAAGTAAATATAATTATATAAAGCAAAACAATATTAAACAAAGAGACAATTCAATTTTATTTTAAATAGATAATAGAGTAGAAGATTGCAAAATCTAATACCAAACTTGAACTACAATCACGGGCCACTTTATTAGGTACACCTGTCGAACTGCTCGTTAACACAAATTTCTAATCCGCCAATCTCATGGCAGCAACTCAATGCATTTAGGCATGTAGACATGGTAAAGATGATCTGCTGCAGTTCAAACTGAGCATCAGAATGGGGAAGAAAGGTGGTTTAAGTGAGTTTAAACATGGCACGGATGTTGGTGCCAGACTGGCTGGTCTGAGCATTTCAGAAACTGCTGATCTACTGGGATTTTCATGCATAACAATCTCTAGTGTTTACAGAGAATAGTCCAAAAAAGGGAAAATATTCAGTGAGTGGCAGTTCTGAGCAGGATAATGCACCATCTCATAAAGTACGAACTTTCTTAGACTGGTTTCTTGAACACAAAAATGAGTTCACTGTACTCAAACGACCTCCTCAGTCACCAGATCTCAATCCAATAGAGCACCATTGGGATGTGGTGGAGTGAGAGATTTGCATCAGGGATGTTTAGCCGACAAATCTGCAGCAACTGTGTGATGCTATCATTCAATTCAATTCAATTTATTTATAAAGCACTTTAAAACAACACAGTTGACCAAAGTGCTGACAACAAAGAGTAAAACAAACTTTAAAATACAAATAAATAAACATAAAATGTCAACATCTCAAGCTGTGCTAAAAGCCAAATTGAACAGGTGGGTTTTAAGAAGGGATTTAAAAACAGTGATGGAAGAGGCTTGTCTAATGTACAACGCTAGCTCATTCCACAATTTTGGTGCAGCCACAGCAAAAGCCCAATCCCCTCTGAGCTTTTGACTGGTCCTGGGCACACCCAGGAGGAGCTGGTCGGTTGACCTGAGCGAACGATAAGGTGTGTAGGGACAGAGAAGCTCAGAGTTCAATTGACATGAGAGTTCATCATGTCAATATGGACCAGTTCTCTAAGGAATATTTCAAGTACCTTGTTGAATCTATGCCATGAAGGATTAAGGCAGTTCTGAAGGCAAAAAGGGGTTCAAGGCGGTGCTAGTAAGGTGTACCTAATAAAGTGGCCGGTGAGTATATTTCACATTTATACTATTGTAGTTTTTCTTTATTATGTTTTTAATAAAATAATATACATTACATTGCAGGTATTTAGTAACAAAGTACCCCTACCCTGATGAAAAAATTAAATCACTATTAAAATATGCAATTTTTTGTATTGCAGTTTTTGTATGTGTAAAACCATGGTTTAATTTAACGAAAAATATGTAATGTAGAAAAATAGGTCGTCTATTGTGCATGTTGTGGGAGATGAAAAACATTTTACCATTTTTCTCCACTCTGGTAAGAGGTTTGACCCCTGAAAACACCTCGGCCAGCTCCATCATCCTCTCTGATCCCTCCTTCTTATAGCTCTCCCACTTCAGCTGCTTCTCTGCCAACATCTGCTTGAACATCTGAGAATCACACACAAAAAATAAATAATTAATGAACCAGAAGCTCATACACTAATTTTCCTTTGGCTTAGTCCCTTATTTATATGAGGGGGCGCCACAGCAGAATGAACTGCCAACTATTCCGGCATATGTTTTTTTGCAGGGTACGCCCTTCCAGCCACAACAAAGTACTGGAAAATGAACCAGAAACTGTTTATTTGTTTTATTTAAGTTGGGATAACATAATACAAGATTTGTTTACATGTTCATTTATTTAAATTACTAAATAAGATAGCTTTCCTGAAGGAAAAAGAGATAGTTTACCCCAAAACTATAATTTACTCACTATTTATCCGAACCTGTGTGAGTTTCTTTATTCCACTGATCACTAAAGAAGATATTTTGAAGAATGAGTTACCATTGACTTTCATAGTAGAAAAAACTAAATTTAAGGAAGTCAATGGTTACAGATTTCCAACATTTTTCAAATTATCTTTTTTTCCTGTTCTATAGAAACAAGAAACAGCTTTGTAACAAGGAAACGATAAGTAAATAAATACAGAATTTTCCATTTTGGTTGAACGAAATATTTGAATTTAAAAGGTGTATTTCTCAGACAGACTGAAGACCTGAACCAAGATTAGTGGACTGCATTAGAATTCATTACATTCTTGTCCAAAAAAAGCTTCAATTTAACATTGAGAAATATAATTTCAAAATAATTCAATTTTTTATATTTACCTCTTTGAGTATGAACTCAAACTGAGCCGTGTCCAGCAGCAGCTGAAACAGAATTTTGGGGTTGTATTTGGAGTCGTTGATGACTTGGTCTTTGATCTGACGAAGCCTCTTGTTGTTTGGATCATAAGCTTCAAGAGCAACAACAACAACAAAACTTAGAAAAGCATTTTTCTAATTCCATAAAAATCAATAATTAATCAAAACTCAAACAGAATCTAAAGGTTTTCTTAAAGGCACAGTATGTAATTTTCAAATTGTGTGAATCATGGGGGTTGTAGTCTTCATTTCATCCTATGGGACTCCTGCAGATATCATGTTCATGGATGAGCTAAAGTTGTTAACTAAAAGCAGCATCAGGGCAGCATGTAGCAGAATAAGGAGCTTTAATTTTGTCATTCCTTCCGGTCTTTCCACTTGTGATCATATAGAAAAGAAGTAGTGCTGTTTTATCATTCTAAATACATTTTAAGATTCTGTTATAAGTCCGCACTATGCAGTTTAATAAGACACACAACTTATTAGGGTCTTTGGTGTTTCCTGTTTAAAAATCACACCAGAAATCAGGGGTCTATGACAGAGTTTCAGTGCCAATACGTACAGAAATATTTTAAATATCTATTTCTCGCTAACATTTGAGCACTGTTGTCCATATTTAAACACCTCTGATTGGCCATTGTGTTCACGTGCTCAACAGAAATGACTGTGATTGGCCGTGATGGTCATCAGTTCATCGTTCTTTACCACTGTTCACCTAGTATGACGTCACTAGCATAGAGCCGCAATATATGGTCCGTGTCACTAGTTAAGATTGCTTATTTCTCTTGAACAATATGTGGAAATGGTGACGAATGTAATGCAATTACACAATTCTGCAAAATATATAACAATGTTTTAGTGGTTTTAAAATATTACACATTGTGACAATAATATGACCCAAAATCATTATAGCCCTGTTTACTCCTAGCTCTAAGATGTTTTTTGGTCAATTAGATCACAAATAGACGAGGGAAATGTGAATTAACAAAATACTGAGTCATAATTTTTGTGTTTATATTTATCTGATGTAAAGCCCATAAGGGGCTGTTCACACAAAATGTGTTTTTCCTCTCCAACATGCTACTTTTCTATTGTTTTTCAACGAAAACATGCACTGGGCGGATATGTTTGACCTTTATGCTCACTTCTGTTTATAGTGGAAAGTTTGTATGACAACTGTTTTATTTGCTATCAAATCAAGGTGGAGGAGGTGCTCATTATGGCTGCGTCAAGAGTTATATGTGTTTTTATGTGCTTATCAAAACATATAGTTTTCCTATTTCTAATTAGTCTGTTATTGTCATTATTACATCACGTTTATATCGAGTCAAGTTGACCTTACAATGCAAAGTGCTTTTTAAAAACCCATTCCAGAGTACTGCATCAAGCGCTTTTAGAAGCAAAGACGCATTTGGTGTGAAAGAGCCCCAACACCTCACCGGACTCTGCAGTGTGCAGCATCAGCCAGCGGATGGCAACATTACAGTCTCGGAGGCAGTTGAGCAGTTTGGGAATATTGTCCAGGATGATTTCTTCCCTCAGGAATCCCTCCTTCAACAACTGCTGCACCTGCGGCCGCAGAGTCTCCACACTGGCAGCGTATCGTCCAGCCTGAGAACAGACAACAATCACTAATCACTGTGTGCGAATCCAGAGTAGCGTTGGGTGTGATGAGTTACAAATTAACTAGTCAGTATAATTACATAACTTATTCACTGAAAATGGCATTCCTGCTCATTTTAGGTCATTTATTTGTATTGCACTCGCCTAAACTTCAGAATAATTTATTTTTTTGTTATATAATTTAATATGGCAGAGGAATTCTATTTTTGACATCAATAAAAAGGACTGCATATTTGAACAATGAATTGTGTCAGAAATTACTTCATGACAATATATGGTATGTGTGAAAGATAATGGTGTATATATATACACACACACATGTATACATACACACACATGCATCAAATCTATATATCAACATATATATCATAAATATATGTATTTAGCAAATGTCAAATGTCCAAAAATAAAAAGAGAATGTAATCATTTGTGAAAAAGGCAGATTTTATTTAACCTCACATTAAAATTTCAGATTTTTCTTGCATTTTATCTGTCAATAGAATGAATAGTTTCGATCAAAATTACATAAATTTAGTACATTTTTTATTAATTTTATATTGACATTACTTCATTTGTTGCTTTTAACCGAAGAATCTCATGCTTGTTATTAAAATGTTCAAGTATTAGATCTTTAAAAGAAATAGAGTATATAGCTGGCTCTCCACAGTGCCAATATAATTATCCATAATATAACACTTACATAATTCTAAAGGTTATGCATCATTGAGAGAATATGTTTGGCAACCTTTTATTTTATACTTATTCCATTTACTTTCTTGGCAAGGTTAATTTAATATTTTTATGTATGTATGCATGTGTGTATGTATGTATGCATGTGTGTATGTATGTACAGTTGAAGTCAGAATTATTAGCTCCCCTGAATTATTAGATATTATTAGATATTTTTCAAGACACATCTATAAAGCTTAAAATGACATTTAAAGGCTTAACTAGGTTAATTAGGTTAACTAGTAAGGTTAGGGTAATTAGGACAAGTTATTGTATAACCATGGCTTGTTCTGTTGACTGTGGAAAAAAAAAATAGCTTAAAAGGGCTAATAGTTTTGTCCCAAAAATGTTTTTTAAAAATTTAAATCTGCTTTTATTTTAGCCGAAATAAAACAAGTAAGACTTTCTCCAAAAGAAAAACATATTATCAAACATACTGTGAAAAATTCCTTGCTCTGTCAAACATTATTTTGGAAATATTAAAAAAAAAAAAAAAAAAAAAAATTCAAAGGGGGGCTAATAATTCTGACTTCAACTGTATGTATGTATGTACGCATGTATGCATCTATACATGTGTGAAATGGATATATTTATGTATATATGCATTGTTTGTTTGTTTTGTTCCCCCCACAAGTCAATAAAAACTATTTTTAAAAAAGTATAAAAAGTAAATAAAATATTTAAGTATTTTTTTTAATAAAGCTACAAAGATCATGCAGTATATGACTCAAACTTAAAGAATAAAAAATAGTTGAAATTACAGCACTATTAACTCAAGAAATTAAATTCCTTAGGGGTAATGGCATTTTTTTTCAGACATAAGCAATAAAAAGTCATTTATTATTACCTACATCATGAAAAATTTATTTAAAAATAACTTGCCCAACACTAATCCAGAGTGACTCTGGATTACTCTGAACATGTGTGAACAGAAAGAGCACAGATGACTGTACCTGTTCTCTGATGTTAGCTGTGTCCAGCGTGTAGTTCAGGGCTATTTTAGCAGCTTTATATGGTTCCCACGCCTCCACCAAGTTCACTGTGATGCCCATGTATATGCTTATAACCTGAAGATGCAAGGTCGATGTTGTAGTTAAAATATCAAGTGGGTCACATTTTCTGAAAAGACATGATGATTAAAGTCTTCTCACCCAGTTGTCAGGGAAGTATTTGTCCACGATCTCTCTCATCTTGGCCTGTTGTGTGTGCAGGATGGAGGGAGTGAAATATAAGCAGACATAAAGCATAGCGGCCTGAGTCGCCAGAGCTGTGCTGCGGTGCTCCGGCAGAGGATACGCAGAGACCTACAACAGAGCATACATTTGCACAAAGCAGGAATAAACATGAGATATCCAGCTGAATGAGAGGTTTTCAAACTGTTCTTAAAATATAAATATGAGGAAGCATTTTCTGATATAAAGCTGGGTGTAGGAAAACACAAAAGTAATAAATATATTATTATTATTATTATTATTATTATTATTACCACAGTAAATATTATTACATTTATTTTTTATTTTATTTTTTGCATTTTAATCGTCAGCAGATTTAAAACAAATGTGGAAAAATGATTTCATTATACTTTATATGAAAATTTCTATAATTGTTTTGCATTTTATCTATCAATAGAATTAATAATGTTTACATAAAAGCATTTTAAAAATGTTGAAGTATTTTTTTCAATTAAGTTTGTATTTACATTATTGTTTTAACATTTTTTTACCAATTAGTTTTATTAATCATTTGTCTTCAATAAATTTTTTATTCATCAATATTGTAATTTTCTGTTTTAAAAGTAAAGTTTTATCAATTTACATGGCAAAGGATGGATTTTTTTTATTGTCATCAAACATATATTACTCCTATTTATATAATATTTTTAGTTTATTAATTTTTTTCTTTACAATTTTTCTCTAAAATTTCCTGCTGACCACCAAGCACCTCCTGCAAACCACAGGTCTAAATCACACAGCTGTCTTGCCTGGTTGTAGATGTCGTCAGAGCGCAAGCGGCCAATCACCATACTGATGAATGTGGAGCTGATGGGAACTCTCTGGAAGTAGCTCTCAGGGTAGTTTGTTGGCCGTTTAGCCCCCGGGTGGCTGGAGTATCCTGTGCTACGCAAAAGCTTGCAGATGTCATCTAGGTTAGAGTCAGCTGAGGAGCGAGCAGCGCTGAGGTGAACACAGACATGTTTGATTAATCAGCATCTAACATCTTGGTCCATTTCACCTTATCTAAGGACTGTTTATCAGCTACTGGTCCAACCACGCATAACAAAACATCTCCAAATACATGAAAACCTTACCTGTATCTATAATAGGACACCAGCATCCTTTCTCTTACTTCTCCTTCCATCTTCTGATCGATAACCAGTAACATGACTCCATACAGATACAGAGCCTCACACTGACAGAAAACACACAGTTACAAACGTACTTAATGTATTAACCTACAGTATACAGTATTTAATAACTGTTTTGTGTTGCACAATAGTCAAAAATAAACAACTTTTATGCAAAAAAAAAATATTATTAAGTAAAGTAAAGAAAGATGTTCCATGAATATGTTTTGTATATTTCCTACTGCATATATATTAAAAGTAATATGCATTTATAAGCACTTTATATAGACAATTATCTCAGTATTTGGTTTATTATTATTTTTGGATATCATATTTTCAAATAGTCAAATATTATCCTATCCTAACAAAAGTACACATCAGTGATAGGGATGCACCAATATAGAATATTTGACAGATACTGATAACTATTTATATTGTGAGGCTGATAGCCGATATATATATATATATATATATATATATATATATATATATATATATATATATATACACATACATATTTATTTATTTATTTATTTATTTATTTATTTATTTATTTATTTAGCCAATAACTATAAATATTTACATATTTCTCTGCATGATTGCTAAAACAAATGGCAAACACAGAGCAAACAACTGATTTTATTTTAATACCTTATTTTTAGAAAAGTTTGAACTCAAAGGAAATATGTGGTTTGCAAGATGCATCAAGAATATTAAGATTTTAAGATTAAGATTAAGAACTGATTTCATCCCCACTCAAATAGATGACAGATTTTGAATATGGACCAAGTTAATAATTTTTCAATTACTACACTTTTTTAGACAAGGGTGCAATTCAAACTTTTGAATTTCTAAAGGAAAAATATGGATTTAATCAAAGTGACTTTTATAGATACCTTCAAGTAAGACATTATATTGAATGTAATATTAAACCAGAAATATTAAAAGTTGCAGAGACAGGAATAATAAAAGTGTTTTCATCAGTGGGCAAGGCCCAAATCATGTAATAAGATCCTTTCGAGATTATATAAGGGATTTTGCGGATCTGTACTGGACACTACACTATATATTAGAGATAAATGGAAAATGGAAGGAATTC